ACATCTGCATTGCAGGTGCTTACCATTCAATATCAGCGTAAGTGGGATGTAGACATTCTCCTTGCAACTGCAACCAAGACTGCTAAAACTATCTCTAATCTAAGATGAAACAAAGCAACAGGATGTGATGATATGAGTCCAGGGTTATTCAAGGATGGTAGTGATGAATTATTGACTAAATTAATACAAATATTAGCTAGCACATGGTAACCCGAGATGGTTTCATTTAATCGGCGTAGATTGTTGATTATCGGAGTTTATAAGAAAAATAGCTTCTTGTGAAAAGTACAACTGGGTTAGTTTGACTAAGGGAGTCTCTGAACTTCCAGGCTCCATAGTCATATAAAGACTAAGTGAGTCTCAGGAGAAATAAACGCGAACAAACCAAACAGGCTTTAAGTCCAGAAGAAGGTGGATTGGTCAAATCTCCACCCATCGACAGGTGCTAGAATACAAGTGGTGTTCGAAACTGATCATATTTCTTGATACGAGTGTGGCAGTTGACAGTTGGGAGGTGTTGTGGCAGTGTTTGGTTGTGGAGGAAGTGTCGATGAAGTAGACCACACTAATTAAAGGACCTTCCTCAAACTCCTGCAACCATATGAGAGCTTATGGGAAGTTGTCTTTTTAAGTGGAGACAACCATTGGCGTCCGTCGGGAATACCCACTGTCGTCACTCTTGTCTACTTTCGTTATAGATGTACTAATGGATGTGACCCTGATTGCAATTGATGTTTTAGACTGACTTGTTATCAGGTAAGTCTTGTTGACCTAGAGTATGCAGATGATGTAGTCCTTTGAGATGAAGAAACTGATAAAATGCAGTGTCTTTTGAAAACTAAGAAGAACGTAAGCATGTTTAGAATAAGGTTCGTCTCTGTTAAATATTTCAGGACTGTTCTGCATCGACTCCTAGCTCAAAGATAAACAGTGGAGTGATTAAATGTTTTGACCATCTCACTAATTTGGGGAGTTATATTACCCCTAGTGAACTGCTTACTGTTGAAATTTCAGAGTGGGTGGGAAGAGCTCTTTCGTCGTTTGTCAACTCCTGTTATCTTTGGTGGGGGAGTGACATTTGGCTGTCCATCGGAGAACGTGTGTGCTGTGATTCATTTCGCTCTGTCCTCGATATCAACGGTGATAACGTACTTGGTATATGTTACCATTCGGTTACGAACTGTCAGTGGACGATTCTGATAAAGAATTTGCACGACCCTGCTACGCAGTTAATAATAACCTTTGAAAATTTATAACACTTAGAAGACTCATTTTCTGGTCATAATTTTCTTCATATTTCTGCTTTTATGTTCTGAATATATATATATATATATATATAATTTATCCCTAGTGTATTTTCGATGCGTAACTCTGTGAAGTTCACTTACTTACTTGCTGGTGATATTAATAAGCCTAACAGGCTGTAATAGGCGAAATGTTATTTAAATTTGAGTCCCATTGGCTTAGGTTTAACAACTCAAGCCGGTTAGCCGCATCTCCTTTATTCTACTTGAGAAGACTGATGGTTAGGTGGTTTACTGAACATCCATGTGAGCACTAATGCTCTGGGTGATACCTACAGCATTTAGGATAATGATACTACTTTGTTGACCAAACCTAATCTGCCGAGGCGGGTTTTCAGTGCATGACCTACTGGTTGAAGCTGGGTGTCTAGTTCGATAAACAGCTACACTTATGGTACCATCTAGTTACCCAGGCTTTAGTGCTTAAAACGAAATCCGATTCTGTCAATCTGGATATAGTGTGACGCATTCAAAGAGTCTATAGCAGTAATACTAACGCAAGTTTCGGTCTTGCCAAATGTGAGTTAATGCTTATAAATTACCCGTTAAGTTCAATTTATTACTGAAGACATATGACACTGTCTACTTAAAGTCTCTATTAATTATACATTTGAAAAAGCTTTCTGATTGAATTGTTGTATAATTTACTGCTACATATGGTTATGTGAATAATTCCCATTAATGAATCACTGGTTTATAGATACCTTAATATTTATTCTTATTGGTTAGTCTTTATTATCGATCATTTTAGTTGCGACTTTAAATAAATTTGAAGAAAACGTTTTAATTATGTGTGTTTGACTGTTTTATATTAGATTGTTAAGCCTACGATTTCATTCTAATTTTCTACATTGTCTACAAACTAGGACATAAAATTCTTTCGTTTCCAAAATTGAATTAAACTAAAAGACCAGCAGTATATGTTTATAATTCGTAAAAAAGTACTTGAAAGAAACTTATTGCTATAGAAAAAAGTATTTTTATTATATCTTAGGTAAATATGTAGTACAAGCAGGCTAAGATTCAAGACCCTGTACACTGGAATAGGAGACACCAAGAAGCCTTTCACCATTCGGTTCATTTCTAAAATTCTCTTTCAAGGGAATTGGTTTTAATTTCCTTTATAATACCATCTTCTAATCATCCCGTAGTGATAATGGAAATAGTAAAACATGACAATCGAATCGTATCCTGACCTTACTCAGCATTCTTTTGTCTCGTATAAATCCAGAGATGCCTATCTTAACGATGCCTAGGCGCCTAATTCTTTTCGTACCTTCACTAAGAATGACAAATTGACTTGAGTTCAGAAAGGTTGATTACCTTAGGACTTATTCTTCTCATCATCGCCTGATGTGTAAAAAATGTTTCCTGTCGTAATTTCAATAACTTTCGGCTTCTTAGTAAAAATTTTTCATGTAAAATTTGTTACGAAAACTCCAGTGTTATTTACTTTAACAGAATTTCTTTTGTATCTATTTTAGATCTGTGTATGATTCACAATAAAACTTGTCGTCATTGTTAAAAATCTTAGAATCTCATGAAGTGTGACGAAGGTGTACAATGAAGAAATGTCTTCTTCTGTGAAATCAAAAGAAGATTCTTTGACTCCTCATTCGGACGAGAGTAATTACATATATATTCTTTGTGTTGATTTTCTGCACTTACTTCAACGTATTTCTTAGAATTATCACAAATGAAAGCATTAAAGTGACTGTAGTTTTGCTCTTTAGCAAAAGAGATGACAATATTCGAACATTAATGTCTAATTTATTGTGTAACGCTCTTGCCTATAAGTTTAGAATATCCACTTCCAACGAGTTGTCTGCGTGTTCGATACCCTATTCACCTATGGAAGTTTTGTCAACTGGCTAACAGCTTTCGCCCACATAAAAGGATGTGGCGTAATTAGAAATCCACACGGTTGTTCAATAACAATAAAGCTTAGTTTGATGTTTCATATTTTCTATGTAGGCGGATGTACTACACGATCATTGCTGAGCGATTTCAGATTATATTCTTGTAGGTGTGTTTATCTAGAAAAAATAATCACCTTGTTCAACAAACACTCATGAGATTTATACAGTCATAGAGTTTGTTATAATTGAAGGATAGGTAGTGTACACAAGTTTCTGTTCATTTGTAATGAATGCTATAGAGAGTAGAAGCTGATCGATGTGGTTTTAACAAAGGTTTATATATTACCAATACAAAGAACACGCATTTTTCCTTGTATAATGAAGTGAAATTGATTCTTCAGGACATTTAAATAGGTAGAATTATAAGCTTTGTTGTATTAGCTCTGTAGTCAGTTTTTGAACTAGACTATTTTAAATTATTCATTTACTAGAGTCATACCAACGAAAAATTTTGTTAATACGTTTAAATGTAACTTGAGTATATTTCATCAGAGTAATGGAACTCAATCGCTTATCAAGGTTGGTACTAACTCTCTATACTACTAAGTAGGTTTCTGCGACTTAACCACTCCTCCTCAAGTGTGGTATTTATAACATTTGCATTGATGGCATTTCTATAAACGTCTTATAGGTTAGGCACTTTCCCAGGCAGTTTTAATTATAAGTGCAAGTACTTTTTAAAATTTGTTTCGACTGTAATCAACTGTAGAATATTTTACAGATGTTTTATCCTTGTTAGCCTTTTTATAACTTCCGTTGCCATATTTCACGGTATCATCTCGGCTTCAGTAGTACTTTTAAGTTTCCACTAGTTTACTGAGGCCTACTTCAGTATCCCTATAAAATTATGATAATGGTGGGAAATTGAGCTGTAATTTTCTGAAAAATTTTCGTTGTCATCATAATTTTGACGAAATTGTAGATTTCGTGCGTTTGTTTTGTTTTATCGTGTTTTGTTTTTGTAGGCGACTACGTTGATGTTGCTGCTGAAATATTACGAGAAAATGTAACAAATAACGATATTGTAAATGATACCACTGTTTCTTTTTCTGTCTCAGTGGATGAAGTGTCATCACCTGAAATCCCATCTCCGAATTATGATTATGATAGTTTTGATCACTTGTCTTTCACTGAAGTAAAAGGTGTGTGTACTTGTATGTTTATGCAAAATTAAACATCTTGTTTAACCCTGAACTCCTTGTGAAAAAGTAAAATTTTGCAGCATTGTCAAATCTGTTGGTGGTTAAGTAACGCTTATACTTACTGAGGTAACACATTCGTTCACACATATCAAGGACATATGCATATTTTTCTAGTTTTTGTTAACTCGTTTGAGTATTCTAGTATATGTGATAGTCCGGAGAAATAGTCCTCATATTAGATGGTTAGAGGCAAACGGCCACAGGAAACCTTGGACCTAGGTTTCGTGCTAGTTGGCACTCGTCAGCAAGGCCTATCTGCAACCTTGAAGGAACTCATGTCCCTTCTGAGATTCGAACCCGCGTCACCCAGTGCTGTAGTCAGAGACGTTACCACTGAGCTATTCGAGCTCGCGATTGACCTCCTGTAGGACTGTAGTGGATATTTTGATTTGACACTAGTAACTAGTGTGATGCATCTAGTCCTGTCTTTGGTGCAGACTGAATTCTGTCAGTCAGGTCCTCAATATTACTCATCGCAAATCACTGTGCAACTCAATAGAAATATTCAAGTATTCGTTTGTAGGGATTTAATTGATCAGAGTTACAGGATTTCATCATAAGCTGACATCGGTTAGAGAACCATTAGAAAACCTGCAGGGAGTACTGGACAGCTGTTTCGTCCTAGTTTTGGAATATGCACCCACAGGGGTTCGAACCCAAGACCTTCTGGTTACAAGGTGAGCTCGCAGACCATTAAACCACTGGGACCCGATCCAATAGCCCATGAGGACAAATACTCGCCGAAGACATTGGCTAGTGGTCGCGCTATGTCGTGAATTGGCAGAAGCTGGAATTCATGTGCCGGCCATTGGATCGGGTCCAAGTGGCTTTATGGTCTACGAGCTCGCCTTTTAACCAGAAGATCCTGAGTTTGAACCCTGGCTGTGGGTGCGTATTGATGGAGAGTCCCAAACTAGGCCGAGATAGCTGTCCAGTACTCCCTGCAGTTTTCCCAATGGTTCTCTAACCGATATCAGCTCATAATGAAATCCTGTAACCAATTAATAGAAATAAGGAATAATCAACTGTATTCTTCAGATTTATGCATAATTTTGATGCGACACATATCACAATATATGACTAAGAATTTCTGCCTGTCTGTCTGAATCTCAATGAGTAGATCGGTGTACAAACCTTAACACAATATTTGTGTTCTCTTCGTCTAAGCTACAGGCAATTTTATAGATATAATATCTTCAAAAATGGTTTCACATCTATGCAGATAAACGTTTACGCGCCATTTTTATTTTTATTATGTTCTCACTTGCGTTTTTAAAGACTTCTAAAAAAGATTCATTACGTATTCAAGACAAGCAGAAATCATTTATATTCACTAAGTGTGTGATGTTTATATGAACATTTCCCCTCTTTGAAGTTATCATTATTCATTACAATATGAGTGTGATGTAGCTTTAAGACTACACATATGAATGAATAAATTACTGCCATGTGATGTAGTAATTGTGAATCACTATAATAGAATGTACTTTAAGGAGTCAACATATAAAATAAATAATGACAATTAGAATGTAATTAATTTCTAAAAAAGCATCTGTGGTTCAATTTGTTCTTGCCTTTGTAGTTGTTCTTATACTAAATAATATACGTTGTTATTATCATTATTATAGTGAAAATAAAAACTATTCAAAGTGAGATAACTGCAGCAAAACTTGTCTGCCTAATACTTGTAATCTTATTATGATAAAGTGAGTTCAACTCTATTTTAGCGGGGATATGCTAAATACATATTAGAAAATTAGATCATTAGATCAGATAGAAGTGGAACCATCCACGTTTATCACCGAGGATAAACACTAAGGTAATATATTATTGTGATATAATTTCAACCCTCATAAATCCTACTTCAATACTACAATGCTTACGATGATTTGATGTTCACGGTGAAAAGGTGTACTTTTGATTGGACACTAGTCAGTAACTAGTGTAATGTGTGTGTGTGTGTGCTACTCCTATCTTCGGTGCGGACTGAATTCTATCAGTCAAGTTTGCAATGTGGCCATCATCACTATGCCCTGTGAATTGTTGGTATTAGATGGTTGGAGACAATCTGTAGGAAGCCCTTGTGTGTATTGGCTTGCTATGCTTCATTATAAGTATTCTCCATATTCTTTTCTTTTGTTGTTGTGAAAAGCATCAATCCCAAGAGGATTTAGTCGTTTCTGATTTCTTTTGTTATTCTCGTTGTTTTTTCCCCTCACAGACACCTCATCAAAAAGTATGTCTCAAAGTCAGGATTTCACACCAGAGAAATTAGTTGCAAATGAATCAGAGACCCAGCTGTCAATGCATGTTTTGGATTCAGTCTCAACTGATGATCACCAGGATTCAAAAGTATCCAATTATACACCTGAAATGCCTCCTGACGCCTCATATCCAAATCCACTTGAAAGTTAGTTATAGTATAGTTTTTCTTAAATTAATTATTTAAAAGTAGCCAGACATGCTTGACACAGTGGTACGGCAATTTTTCAAACTCATCAGAATGTAGACATATTAGCGCACATCATTATATTTTGGTTGTCATTTCATTTAAATGATGCTTTGATTGCCAGTAGAATGATCCATCTTCATCTTTTTGTTTACTATTACTTTTGGTAGATTATTGTTATATGTTCACTTAGGTACTTTCATATGTATAAAAGCACTTTAGGCTAACCACCAGTAGTTACACTTAATTAATGCCGAGTATTGAGAACAGCTTTCAATAAACAATATACTTGAATATTATTATAATGATAGAGACTACCAAAAGCAAGTCTCTAGTCAGTTGAAGAAAAACAGTAAAACTATTTTTTTAGACTTAAAACTCCTCTTACGTGAAAAGTATGTTTTTAACACATGAATACTCATCAACAAATAAAAATAATTTGCTCCTGAGACAATCGGGTCTCAGCTATAATCAGTATGAAGTATCAAATTCTTACCTTTTTTGTGTTCTATTTTGTTAATGGTTTTCAATTAGTTGTATAATGTCTGTCTGTCTGTCTGTTTTCGACATAGAACTTTGCACATATGTGCGGCAGTTCAAGTCGCCACACTCCATGTAGCACACAAAGCAAGAGAAGAAAGTAGGAGAAATGCATATTAGAGACAGTAAACAGAGGTGTGAGACAAAGGTATAGTAATAACGAAGAACAAAACAGTTTCATTGGAAATCATAAGTTACAAGGAGTGGATGCATCTGCGCTAGCCATTGAGAACGATTTTGAGCCATGTCACCGATTGTTTCCAACCATTGGTTTTTACCGTCCCGATGACCCCAACGAGGAAGTCTACACCTTCCTACGTGGCTTAGACTAACTGTTGTAGATTTCATTGACTGGTGCCTTGTTTTCGTTTGACCGCCGCTAGCTCTTTTCCAGCCTGACCCTATATCAGATAACATTGCCCATTGTCGAGGAAGGCGATGACTAGGCATACGTAACACATGTTCTAACCATCACAGTCAATGTAATTTCACAGTTTCGTCGACTGATTTCCCCGTCTTACCTAGCACTCGACGCCTAACCTCAATATTGCTCACCTTATTATACCACTTCACACGGGAGATAGAACGCAGACACCTATAATGACATTTATTAACATTGACTATCCACAAAACAGCTTACACACAATGAGAATGTTTTATCTCACTAACAGATACTGAGTTCTTGAATACATTATTATGTCTTAAAATTTTGTTTAACAATCGGTTAGTTGGGAAATCATATAAGACCGGTGGTATTCTGTTATACGAATGCAATTTCATCAATTCGTCATCATCAATCTCGTCAAAAAGTAACATAAACTAGAGAACTATTAGAAGGCAAGGATTAAACAACTGTCTCATCTTAGATTAGAGCTCCTCGGTAGTGAGATCTAACGGTCACATGGAGGTTTGAGGTCGAGTCCATGGTGATAGTATGTAGCGCACTGGTTTTCTACCAATGTCAAATAACTGGCAAGCGGACTCCAGCAGAGTGCTTAAATAGTAAGTTACTGTCTTTGAAAACTAACAGTCGTGGACTCTATCTTCTCCCTTCAAGATTGTTAGCCAAAATCTCATAATTTGTCCGAGGAATACTGCTCGGATGCCTAGACCGAAGCAGGTGATTGTCTTAAAGAGTCACCTTTGAAGAGCCTTTGATTGAAGTCTACTGCACAAGGCAGTGGAGCAGAGTCAGGAGCTACTTTCCAATTCCGGCTCTTCTAGTTGTAGGCCTGGATGTGCACCAGTCGGGTTGTAAGAGTCAGACTTTTGGATTCTCCCCTGTTGACTCTTGTGAAGAACACTCTTGCCGTGGCGTGAATGCAGTGATATGGAGTTGTCCCAAACTTATATGAAGCTGCTATCCCATATTCCATGTTTTTAACAGTCATCTAGTTTACGTTAATTTATGATGAGATCTACTTTCAAGTAACCTGTATAGACTGTTTGTGACACAATATTTTTAGACGAAAAGAACTGATGAAGTAGTATGCTTACAACGAAAATTACGAGGGCTAGTGTATGATTTTCCAGCCAACTGACAGTTACATAAAAACATAACTTTATCGCATTTGTCCCCCGCCTTTTTAAAACTCAAGGCAGAATAATATGGTCAGCAACTTATCATTTATATCTAACGGTCTTTTATAGGTACCGCCAAGCCATGGTCACTGGGGTTCACCGTGTCAACGTGAACTGGATGCTCACGAAGGCATTGATTGACGGTAGTGCTATATCACCTATTGGCAGAAGTCAGAATACATAGGTCATTGAATTCCAGTCCAATGGCTGGATGGTCAAGGAGCTTGACCTCGTAACTTAAAGATCCAGGGTTTAATCCGCGATGGGGTTGTGGGTACACATTGTTGAAGAGCCCTAGATTAGGACGAAACAGCTGTGTAGTGCTCCTTAGTTCCCAGTGATCTCTAACTGATGTTGATTCATGACGAGATATACACTAAACTCTTTGTTAGTGAAATAAAAATTGCACATTTTTAAATCTGTTTACTGATCTGTTTTACATTCCTACAATTTGACTTGCGTCATCTCAACCGGTAGTTGTGCCAATTATCTATGAGCTATTGATTAAAAGAATTCATATAATTTTCTTATGATTGCCTTAATTTCAAGATGTTTTTGTGTAGGCAAAATAACTTCTATGTGATTTTACTTATTGTAAATCATGCTTCAGTCATGTGGTTATTTTCACATGATACTTTTCTGTTTGTGTGTACTTAATGCAAATCTGAAATCATCTATGGTTAATACTTTTTTTGTTTGCAATGTTTTCTTTCCTCATACAGTTAACTTTTTTTTATTTAGCTGTGATGAATATAGCTTTATCTAGAGTTTATCTAGAAGATCTGGATTTCGTAGATAATATATGTCTAATGTCACATAAACTCGAAAACTTACAGGCTAAAACCAACAAACTGGCAGAAGTGGCAGGCAGCGGAGACACGACTGCAGGTAAACATACAAAAGATGGGGGTGATAAAGATAACCAACCAATCACCATCAACAGGGGAGATTTGTCAGAGGTTACTTCCTTCACTATAAAGAACAAGATTCGGATTTTCAACACCAATGTGAAGTCAGTCGCTTCTTCTATATGGGTCAAAAACTTGCACTGCATATCACGAAAAGAATTCCAACCAGTTACAAACTTTTATCAACAGCTGTCACCTTCGCCGGCTGGCTCCATACTGAAGATCAAGTGGCCGACCAGGAAAAATAAGTAAAAAACTCTGGCAACAAAGAGGCAACCAAGAGCCGGTCGCTCAACAAATACTTAGGACAAAATGGAGATGAGTTGAGCATACGTTGAGGAGACTGTCAAACGACATCGCGCACCAGGCCATGGCTCGAGTAGAATCCGGATGGGAAGCATCCAGTGCGTCGTCCTAGGGTGATGTGGAGGAGATCGTATGGGGAGGAGATGAGAGATTATAAGTAGTCGTGGGCCCAGCCAAAGAGGATAACAGAAAATAGAAAGTGGAGGTCCACTTGGAACGCAAGGGGACAATAATAATGATATCTAGAGCTTTTTGGTATTGGTTGAGAGCGTTACAAAATGACTTTAAAATTTAAAAAAAGTGATTACTCAGTAAAATTTTAAACTAACCCCAATAGATGATGCGAACACTAAGCATCTAAAAGAGTAAAACACCGTTTATTTTTTAAGTGTACCAGAGATAAAGATAAGTAACTCAAAATCTCGATTTTCATCAGTAAGTACCCATGGACAAATTACCTTGAAAGCACCAACCACATGATAAAGGCGATTTGTACGTATGAAGTACATATATTCATGAAAATAATGAATTAAAAGGCATAAATCTGTTACACAGGATATCTTTCTCTGATGTGTGACAAAAATACCTCTCACTTTTCAATCGGAGTGTCAACCATATAATTATCTAGTCTCCTAACCCTAACAATAACCGTAATATTTCCTTAACTTAACCCTACCTTGAAAATATCCCGAAACTAATCCTAATCTGACTCGAACCAACCCCTAATGTCGTAGCCATTAAGTTAACGTAACCCTGACCCTAGCCTAAACCTAAACTTAATCTTTCCCAAACCTTACCTGACATTTGCCAGATATCCCATTTAATAACACAACACCTCATTAGGCATATTTTATTGATAATTACAATATTATTTACTAGGTTAGACTAAATTGCCTACTGAGAGTTTCAAGGTCATCGGTGCGGTCGTACTCCGTTGGTATTTACTGGTGCTTAAAGTTTAACGTGGTCACAGTTTGTATGCAATATTTCATAATGATACAATAACACTAACTCTACTTGTATGAAATAAAGGGACATTTATATCTGCAGTAATACAGATTAAATAATATATGAGGAACAACTTGTTTCATCGTCTTATCGAATGTTTTCCCTATTTCTTGTTGTGTTTTTTTGCCCCTTCATAGATTCTTTGGATCATATGCCAACATCTGAACCTCTTCCTGTTACCTTACAACCTGATGAACAATCTATACAAATATCAACTGAAATCTCTCCATCGCATTACACTAATGATAATGCAGCTAATGATGGCAACACACTAACACAACTTATTGAGTCCTCTGTAAACACGGATAAAAGGTCAATTGAAGTTAACTCTGATAAAGAGCCTTCTAATGATTTCAATATGCAAGAATTAGCTGATAGTTTGAACTCACCGATAGAAATCAATAAAAATTCTTATGTTGCCTCCTCCTCGTCGCCTGAACCAAATGATAAATCATACACTGTTAATACAACAACTAATTTAGATGAATCAGAAAATTCTATTTATCATATAAAATGGATTAAATTTAATAATCAAACACGTGCTATTATAACACAGAATCAAAATGGTCCATGTCCAATGATTGCTATAGCTAATGTTCTTTTGTTACGTGGGACAATTGACTTACCGAAAGATAGTGAATTAATTAGTGGAAATCGTTTATTGGCTATGCTTAGTGAATTACTGTTATCAAAAACACCTGATGTAAGTTGCACTGATAAAATTGCTGTTCTTCTTTTTTCTTTATATGTTATAATATGATATTTGTATATCAGTATTCATTATGGTGTAGTGGTTAATTAATTGGTAGACTGCTTGCCAACTATGCATGTGGTCTTGGGTTCGATTCCCTATCGACACACTTCTGAGTCTTGAGTAGTTTACTAATCGATAGTAAGCCACCGGGGATGAGGAAAGTTTGAGTGGGAGGGAGGCTAGCAACCGTGGTGAAAAACCCAGAAATATACAGCTCTTCTCGTGTTTTTCGTTTCTCTACACTTGTTGGGCTAATTGTCGGTTTTCTGTTGTTTAAAAAAAATCTATTGAACAATCAGTGTTGGTTAACAAAAAGTTAAAAAGATATTGACTGACTGGTTTCAACTTAGACCTTTGCACAGATGTGCAAAAGTTCGAGTTGCCACACTCCATGTAGAACATAAAGCAACAGGAGAAAGTAAAGAAAGATTCAAAGAGAGATAATAAACAGAAATATGAGGCAAAAAGAATAGTAATATATAAGAATAATATATTTTTATTGGATATTATCAATCACAAAGAGTGAATGCATCTGCGCCATTGAAAGCAATTTTGAGCTATATGACCAACTGTCTCCAACCATTGGTTTTCACCATCCCGAAGACCCCAACCAGTCAGTCAAGCAGTATGCACCTCCCTACGTGGTTTAAACTAATTGTTGCGGATTTAATTGACTGATAAAGCCGTGTTTTGGTTTGACTACCACTAGCTAACTCTTTTCCAACCTGATCCTGTGTCAGTTAGCTAACATCGCCCATTGTCGAAGATGGCGATGGCTAGCCATGCATGCGTAACACATGTCCTAACCATCTGAATCGGTGTGACTTCACAACTTCACAACGACTGGTTTCCCCTCCTTACCTAGCACTCGACCTATGCCTAACCTCAATATTGCTCACCTTATTATACCACTTAACGCACATGGGAGATAGAACGCTGGTACCTATGATCAAAGACAGCTAGCCAGCCTTTTCATGTCTTCCACTTTCAATGGTCATGTCTCACTCGCAACCATAAAGGAAGACAGAGCGAACTGTTGAGCAGTACACACGCCCTTTGGTCGACAGCCAACCAGCCGGATATCACGTCTACTAAGCCAGAGATGGCGTAAGTTGGCATATGCCAAACTTTAATTGTGGTTCAAATGTACCTTTTTGTAGATGTTGTTTATATCTATATTTTCATAAAACAACATACCAGAGATAGAGAATAGCAATGAAAATGTTCCACACACACAAGCGAGTTTTTTCTTTCCTTCCTTCCCATCTTTATTTCTTTCATTCTGTCCCTCCTGTTCTGTTTTGCCTCTGTGAATATGAATAAAATGAGAAATAGCGGTTGTAGCAGAGTAAGATAATATCATCATTTTATTTCACTGGCTTGTTGTCAGACCCTTACATAACAACTTTTTTAAGCATCCATACCTTCTTAATTAACTTGAACCCGTATATAAATTATGTGTGGAATTTCTGAGCATATTTTGTGCATTATTTTGTAAATTTGAATAAGGCATTTAGGAGACGAATTTCGCAAGATGATATCATTTCGTAGTTTCTTTACAACCGCTTTACAACTAACATGGTTCACAATAATGATCGAATAAAATGCATGACAATTACTCAGTTCATATAAAACAAAAGTACATACTAATGACCAATCATATTTAAATAGGTCAAGCAGTCCATGTTAGGCGAAGGTTGAAGTCTATTGGTTTTTGTACACATAGTTTAGGATGTATTTGATCAATCAAAAGTGCTTCCATCACCTTCAATAACCTTGAATTAGAGTTGTGAAGCAGTCATTAATATTGATTTTGTGACCTGACATTAACAAGTGCTTTGCAATGGATGATGATGGATTTCTATTCGGATTAATTGCATTGGGATTTTCTGTGTGTTTTAATAACCATTTCGGAACATGTCCTTTTCGACGACATTGGAACATTCTATTGGTTCTACCTATATAGGTGTCACCGGAACTGTAGGTGAACTTGTAGATATAGTTTGAAGTAGAGTCCACAGAATTTCGTCCTTTAATCGTAGGTACAGGTATCGCAAATGTTCGGCATGTGAGGGAAGGAGATGCGACTTAGAATGTGCGTTTGATGGCTGACTGAAGTCTTTGAGCTGTCAACTGCATAGTCTGGTCACCCTTGAATGGTAGGTTAATAAAGATAGCTTTCTTTGGTACAGAAGCTGTCTTTTCTAGATGTGGTCTATCCTTACTGTGACAATTGATACAGTTTTCTGGATTTGGACTACTTGACCTATTTAAATATGATTGGTCATTAGTATGTACTTTTGTTTTATATAAACTGAGTAATCGTCATGCAATTTATTCGATCATTATTGTGAACCATGTTAGTTGTAAAGCGGTTGTAAAGAAACTACGAAATGATATCATCTTACGAAATTTGTCTTCTAAATGCCTTATTCAAATTTTATTTTGTAGTTTCCAGTTAACTAATGCCATGTTATCGTTTCAAGTATATTACAAATCTCTGTGTACGCATAATTAAAATTGTATAGGTTGTATACAGCTTATGAGAAACCAATGATATAAAATGGTACCTTATCCTACTCTGACAGTTGGTCTAGTTTATTCAAATAATTTTTAATCCTCATAATATCCATTAGTTTTTTTTCATGCTATTTTGTGGGGAGATCAGCTTTTTCTACAAATGGTTAGAAAGTTTGAACTCCGTTCCATCTTTCCTGTTTACTGTAAGCAAACAACATCACTGACATTTGTGTGGTTGGTAGCCAAATAGCATGAACTTAATCTCATTCTTTCCTCTTTTTTTTACTTCACTTTGAAAGTACTGGCTTGTAAGAAATAAACACGATACATCATGTCTAAGGTACAAACGAATTTTGAGGGCATACTATGTTATGCATATCTGGAGTGTTGATAATGCGAACTTCTATTTCTTATCTCACCCTGACAAACAATTTCAAGAGGAACCTACCATAAGATTTTGAAACAATGGAGATTAGCACCTCAAAGTAGATGTTTTTGGTGTGGTTGTGTTCTCCGAGCTGTGATTGTCTTTTTCGACAGCACCTTAAGCGCTTACCGTATTAAAGTAAGCGCTGAACCTGCCACATAATTCTCTTGTAAGCGCACAGTTCATTGACCAGCTAATCAAGGCAGTTGCAACAATTTTGATGATATACGCTACATTTAGTATTGAAAATGTTGATAGTTTCTTATATTCCACTTTCATCAGTAGTCCCTTTACGGGTTCATTGCCAAATGCTTAAATTTTATATCATGTCTTCTGCAAATTCTCTTTTTGCCGAGTACATTCTTCACTTGGTGAGTCTCCTATCTGTCTATTCTCAATCGTATTCATGTGCTGTACTTTTTTTATCAGTGCTCAGGATACAAACTGTTTTTACATTTGCACAGATTGACTTTGTTTCGTCGGTATATATGTGAGTTGTATTACATATATAACAACATTCATCACAGCACTCAAATAATTCTGTAATTTTATTGTATTTTTTGTAAAATGTTTTTCACCATCATTCAAAGGAACCAAAATAGATTTCGTAAATGACATTGTCGCTCAAACGAAAAATGTATTTTACTGTCGTTTTTTTCTACACCCATAGGATCTTGATGATGGTCAGCTGATTAACTATGAATCGAATTTCTACGATGCACTTTGTCTCTTTCCTAACTTACAGACAGGTCTTGATGTAAATATTAGATTTACAGGGTAAGTAACCACATAGTCAATTACAAAAAATTAATTTTTCTAAAATAATGGAGAAGATTTATAGCTCAGGTGGATGATTTCGATTTAATTGTGTTCTCTGACTTGGTTGATTTAATTGCCAAGCGAAGCTTTCGTTGGCCTTCTAGACAACATCGCTTCAGCGTAGCTTTTAGTATGGAACGAACTGATTTGAATTCACCATGAATGATATACGTGTATCTCCTGGAAACCATTGTCGTAACTGGTTGTTGATTTACGTCTCTATTGATCATTTTGATTGACTTGGAACTTCAACTTTCTTGTCATGTGATTTACTTTTTATTAGCTGGTGAGTTTGGTCTATAATAATGTGTTTGTTAATCGCTGGCTGATTCACTTGAGTACCAGGCTTCTAGAAATTCCCTGGCATTACTTTCAGTGCTTCCTCTATTTAATTTAAGATTTCTACATTATCCCAATCAGATCATTATATACTAAAACGTGGGCTGAAGATGTTGTCTAGAAGGATGACGAAAGTTTCGCAATTAAATCAACCAGCTCAGAGAGCACAACTAATTCAAAATTAAATTGTTCATTAAGAATAAGACAATATTGAATGAATAAATTTGCCTTGCACGAATATGCATAATGTCTGACTTTCAAATTCTGCGTCAGTCAAACTTTCCCCCTTTTAGAGGATTTAATAAAGTTTTGAAGAGTATTATGAGCGATGTATGGATCATCATTTGTGTTTCATTGAGATGTGCGTATTACCTTCACACTGTACAACTAAACACTGTCAGTTGGTACATCACTCTTGTAAAGATACATTTTAAGTGGCTAGTTCATGTTAATTATGCGTAGTTACGGTCTTTCTAAACATGCTATATTAGGATAAGTAGGATTATGTTGAGAAATGAGAAAGCGCAGTCCGGTCAAGACGTTGTACCAATCAGATTATGATATAGGTTCGTCTAAGTTCTATGTGACTACCAAAACCTGTGGTCAAAGCCTAAAAATCGATCGCAGTGGCTGAGATACCTTATCTTTTGTGGAGTTATACTGTACTCATTTTGTTTTCCTCTTTGGTATTAAACCACTACAATTTTATTCTCGTTGATAATTTACTTAGCTCAGTTACCATGCAGTTGTTGTTTGGCTTGCCTGTGAAGAAGATCCAGAATTATTACTTTCTGTAGCACACAATATCATTGAAGTTCCTTAAGTTGTTTTTAATAAAGTCCAATATAGTTTACATCTTTCATTTTCATAGCACATGAATTGCTAAACAGCCGATAAGTGCTACAAATTACAGCAAAACTGTTGAGAAGTTTCTGACAAAGTTATGTTATCCTTAAGGTGTAGTTTCAACTACTAATTGCTGGGAATTTTAAACTGAAAGAATATTATTATGAGTCAGTTAGACGGTCTCACTCACAACGGATCTTTATCAACAAAACGGCCTCCCTTATAACCTATATCTATGACGTCAGGCTTTTCTTCACAACATTAATAACCAGTTATAATATAGAACTAATTAATCAGTACTGTCATCAACGCCGCATTTAAAAATAAAGTTATTTAAAGGTAGCTGCTTTTATATACCGACATCAAAACTTTTAGAAACCAGGAAATACTGGACTGTACGTATCATCCATCTAAATTTCTGACCCATTGCCATCGGGCTATCAGTCGAGCTCGTTTACTCAGTGGTCCAGAGTCTAGTGGTCTTTGAATTTCAGCTGCTACTAATCTCGTCCAACATTGCCCCGTGTACTTACTTACCAGAGAGACTAGTTTGGCATTCATCTGTGTTTTAGCGATTGTATGGTAAACCTTATTTTATACGAGCTATATGTTTCTGTCAGATGATTATTTCGCCATAATCTGGACCTCCGAGTGAAAATTTCTCACTACTTGGTACCCTCGCATCCACAATTTTGCGAGTCTGTTTGAGTGAATTGACACCTTCACTTGTTCTAATAATACCTTTAATCTGAGTGCTATAGTGGTCAATAAATTTTGATTTGAGATACCTTTCTTTCTTTCTCATTCGAATTGCTAACCTTGTCAGTGTGACTTTAGTATTTCTTTGCAAAGTCATGCGTTGGTGGCCTACCTATATTTTTTATTCTCTTGTTTAAGAGACAGTTGTAGCATTTTGTTTACTTACATGGTCTGCATAGACGCAATTGGCAGCTCAAATTCCTACTTAATTTAGTTTTGGCAAGTGATAAATATTCCTATCAATTACACTTCATGTGGGTGTGAATAGTATCCTTTTTTCATTATTCTATGTGCGATTGTTACGTTGAAGTTATATTTTATCAGTACAAAAAAGAGCCAGAAAGGTGGTTATATACCACTCTCACACCAACCAGTAGTAGTACTTTGTAGCCAGATCGAAGTGATGTTAACACCGGACGACCGTTTCAATCGTTTGTGGGGCCAGGCTCGCCAGCGTGGTACTCAGTTTGATTTAGCTCAGAGGACAGAATCATTTCAAACCACCTGGTCTGGCTAGCAAGCATGCTATATGCTACTACTCATATTAACCAATTAGTAGTATATAGTCTTATTCTATTAAATTTTAATGCCCTGTTTTTGTGTACTTTTCAAGTGTTTCAGATTTCGAGTATACTTCAACGTTAAGTTTATTTGATTTGTTCAACATACACATATATCATGGTTGGCTTGTGGATCCTGATGAACATGATTTAGCTGTAACTGTTGGCAAAAGAACCTATAATCAGTTAACTGAAGAACTACTACGACTTAGATCATCTGACAATTCTGAGGATTTGTACAGAAGTTAGTTAAATTTACAATTCTATATTTAATGATTTAAATATTCTAGTAATTAATGTCTTAAGTCTATTGTACATGCAACATAAGTTTGATTTTATTTCAATGTGAATTACTAGTTGAACTGATGTCAGAGAATACAGTTATCGAATTTGTTCAATTTATCAATCCCTTTGTCTGGACATTTTTCCCTGGGTTATTGTAATATCAGCTTACGACGCACAGTGTAATTTATTGGTGGTGTCTACTGATGGAAATTACCGATTCAGTGTTTTGTTAAGGATAACTAGTCGTCAGTAGATTGATGCCGTCTATGCGGTTGAAAAAAAATTAGTTTCAGGCACCTAGTTTGTTTAAATTACTTCAGTTTCACATATAATTTGCTATAGTGACAGGTGCAGTAGAATCTTGTTTTGAAATGCTGTATATACAATTCGCCTTAACTGCCTAATAACTAGTGTTTCACTATTTTTATAAACACAAGTGTGTCTGTTGCATTTAAATTATCGAGCTTTCTTTTAAATGATACGAATGTTATATATATGTACACTGAATAAAACACATAATATTTCAATATTGTTGGTTAAAGCTGACAGTTGACTGACTTTCTTATGTAAGGGTAATACAATTACATTCCTAGCTAGTATTGTTTACAAGTGTAGATGTCTCGACCGATAGCTGCTACCTTGATGTAGTGGTCTGGCCTGCGTATCACAAAGACCCACTGAGCTACACTGGCTGAAACTAGTGTTCCTGCAGGTCTTACCAGGCCAGGAAGGTTGTTTGGATAGCGATCAGGCTAAAGGCAGTTACCGTCATAGTGTAAGTTGTTTACACTATGTTGGGGATCCGTGGGCGAAGCAACAGCTGTTTCCCTCAAATAACCAGCATGCCAGTTATGCTACCCCTCCACTCTGAAGAGGTGGGTTTAGCAAAGATCAACCCCGAACCTGATTTGCCTTATGGGTGACCCGTAACCGGCCGTAAGATCCAAACTCAAACTGACCGTATAAGACCGACCTCAAGCAGTTGTACCAAGGGATCTGAGGTCACTCAACACTAATACTCTTTCTGTTTCATGTACCCTAGGAAAACATCAACTTCCATTATGTCAGCAGCCGGGAAGTAACAACCGCCCACACACTTCCGAAATCACACAAAACTCCCTTGATCATCACCAACCTTTATCACCAATTAGTCAGGCATAGATATCATGCCCAAGTATCCGCAGTGTACTCACTTTGTTTAAAAATGTACATAATTACAAGTATTAAGTATAAGCTTATAATGTTAAATAATTAGCAAGGATTTTTCTGTGAGGTTAGAAAGTTTCATTTCTTGTTAGCCTGTATATTTGATGTAATACGCTGTGATGATGCAGTATTGTTTAATGGATAGATGACTTTTCAAGCAGAAATTATTCCATATAATCATATTTAGAAAATCTCGAGTTTTCATGCTCGCTTTATACTTGTGTTGTTCCTTATCCCTTAATATGTTTGTTGGTAATAGAACTTTCCAAATATCTGGTATTGTTAGCGAATCATTCCTATTAGATGTACTTGATGCCGATTTGATAAAGTGAGACCCACCAGACTATATTGGATTTTGAGTGTTGTAAAGTCACTAGACCCCGTAATTGTGATTATTAGCCATTGCGCGCATTACAGTGGCCTAGCTAAACTGATAATTGTATACCTTTGCCCACTCTAGTCTCTACTTTAATTTGTTCACCATGTGACATTCAACATATCAACTCATTTTATGCGATTGGGTCTAAAAGACGAAATATCTCTCCAAATGTGGGTTTAGGTTTAAGTGCTACCCTGTTCTACTACCCTGTTGAAAGATAGCACACTTTTGTTAATAACATTCATATCTTGTATATAGTCGACGAAGTGAGTATATGCATAGCTGTTCGCTTACCGATTCCAGAATATCAAAGACAACAACATTTTATCCTAATGTACCAGTTATCAGTATGTAGTTGTGGAGGCAGGAAAACATCAAGTGAACTTTGGTTTTAAATCTATTGACAGAACTACATTATTAATTGAATAATTTATACTATTTATGCAATTGTGCCTGGTCTTTACAGTCTTCAAACTTATGGTTTTAATCTGGCATAAAAGTGTGCCAAAAGTGTATGTGGATGAAATGTTTACTATACTAAAATTTGGATATATACATTAGTTCTTCATCTCTCTCCCTATATATATATATATATATATATATATATATATAATTTTGGATGCCTACGTTATCTCTTAGTATATAAACCTGTTCTAGCTAAATTCTTATGCAGTCGAGTCAGATTTTTATTTTATTTATCAAAACACAAGCTTGGTATATTATAGGCACCAAGAAATGCACCATACAAAGTCTCATAGTTTCTGCGACGACTGGGACTCTGCTCGGATGCCTTGACCGAAGTAGGTGATTGTCTTAAAGAGTCACCCCGAGCCTTTGATTGAAGTCTACTGCACAAGGCAGTGGAGCAGCGTCAGGAGCTGCTTTCCCATTCCCACTGGTGACCTAAATAGGTCTATGCACCACTCACTCCTTCCAGATTGTGGTGCCTGTGTACAGTATAGGCTCACAATCAGGGTTTTCTTGGACTCCTCTTGGTGTAGGCCTGGATGTGCACCAGTCGGGTTGTAAGAGTCAGACGTTTGGATTCTCCCCTGTTGACTCTTGTGAAGAACACTTGTCGTGGCGTGAGGGCGGTGATGAATAGGACCTACTTATCAGAGTCTATAAACGCATGACCACATGAGGGCATTTCGAGAGAAAAGCTGAAGTTTACCCTACTCCCGTACTAGATCGTTTATAGAGACAGTCAAGTCAGATGTTAGATTGATAATGCGAAAAAATTAAATGAAACACTCAAGTATATCGAAAAAGTATATTTGGTCGGTAATTAACCTCCGAAGTTCATGACAACGTTTATGAAAACTTTTAAGATAATAGTGCATATTAACCTGGGTAGTTTTCGTAAAGTCATATTCTCCTCCCACTTTCCCTCTCTCAAAGAAAACTGTGTGAATAATTGAGTTCGCACATTTTGTTTCATACGATTATTTTTACTCCTATGGGTTCCGAGTGGGGTATACGACCTCAACAGTCCATCTCCATTCCACTCTGTTATCCACAGTTCTCTTAGGCTGGCTCGAGGAATGCCTATAAGCTCTTATCTTCTCTTCACACCATCTCCATGTCCCCCTTGGACACCCAGCTTGTCGTTTGCTATTTGGGTTCCAGTCGAGGTTATGTCTGGCGCGCTATTTCACTCAGTGTGCGCCTGATCCGTCTCCGTTTTCTTTCGCCATATCTGCTGGGTAATGGGTTCTTGGTTGGTTCGTTCTCAGTGTTCTTTGCTGCTATTCCTTTCTAGGTGGCTGTCTCATCTTCATTGTGGAGCGAAGGCAGCTGCTGATAAAAGTCTGAAGCCCGATGACGCACGCATCAAGTCTCTGAACTATATAGAAAAATTGACGTGACACTAGTGTTAAAAATCCAAAACTTGTTCCTTATGCTCAGTGCAGCGGATTTCCACACTGATATCAGAGTAATTAAGGTCTGTCTTACTTTCTCAATCCCACCTTTGATATCCTCATCCGTGCTGTCGCCTGTATTTGAAACAATGCTGCCTAGATAAGTAAAAGAAGTAACCTCCTTAAAACTCTTCCACTTGATAGTAATTGGTGCTTGTTGTTGGTGGTGAGGTATCTTCATCTCTATGTTCGCTTGAAGTTCTGTCTTCGCTGGCGCTTCTGAAGACTTGTTGGTTTCAGTCTGTGACACTAGACATGAGTCCTCGGCAAAGTCAGAATCTTTTAGTTTTCTTTTTGGTTCAATGTATTCTTGTCCGCTCACTCCCCACGGCCTGTGACATGACCTAGTCCTCCACAATCAGGATTGTCATCGGTGATAGTAGGTAGCCTTGTCTTACTTCTGTCTTCACTTCAAAGACATTTCTGAGTTTTCCGTTGTGATAATTAATAAATCTTTTGCTAATTATATATGTTAAGTGTTTTATTCCAACTTTCCTCTTGCCTACTAATATATGATAGGTACATTGGTGGAATGGTTTTTAAATCAAAGTGGTTCACAACTAACATTTCATGGTTTAAGTCAACTGGTTTCAACTCTACGTGATGAAGAATTGGCTGTATTTTTTCGAAATAATCATTTCAGTACTATATTAAAGCATAAGGTAAGTGAAATGTCCACTTTTTGCTAAGGATTAATGGTCACAGTTGGAAAAAACACCATGAATAGCAACAGAATTCAAGCCAGTGGTCTATGAATAGAACTGCCTCCTAGGTTTAATGACTGCTGAAGTACGAGATATCAACCGTAAAATACCTTATGGTCACTCGCTTGAATCTTGCAGTGATATAGGATTTCTTTCAACCTTAGTTATCATCTCCGTTTTTTCAGCATCCTGTTATTAATCATATGTATATTCCTAGATATTTCACATCAAAGTTTGTATGTTTGCAGTAGCTCATGCTGCTCTATGTATGTTTCAAATTGAATCGCATCATAAATCCATATCGAGAGGATAATTATCAGAAGCTAAGGGACACTAAAAATTGCTGAATTTTAATTCTAGACTGTTCAGCTGTGTGCTCCAATGACTGTACAGGCTGTTGAGCTTAAAGCAGTCATGTTTTCAGGCGAGGATGATTGTGGTTTCAGTTTCTACCGATTCGCTGTACTGTATATTTTATGTTGACTTTTTTTAATTAGCACCTTGTATGTGGTTACATATAGAGTTTAATGCCATTGGTTAGTCTGAGTGTCAACCTAGTTCAGCACTCATCAGTGCCTTTAATGGATTAAGAGGTTTGTTTCACCACTCCGTACAGTCAGTCAAATAAAATAAAACCATAGCTTCGGTGTGATTGATCGTTTAGACTATAGTACAACGTGATATGCATAACTTAAGGCAATTATTTATAGTGTACTCTGACAGCTACAATCAAATCTGACTGACAGACTTCTTAAAATTTATTCTCTTTCTCTATAAGATTTAATATTGTGAAATATTCCCATATCATGAATTAAAAGTCAATCTGAAGGAAGAATATTCTTTTCAATAATTTCTCTTCAGGTTCTTACAATTATAAAATATAATATTTGTTGTCGTTACGATAATGGACAGTTATGCGGTGGATACATTTTTTGCGTAGAATAACAGATTAGTTATGGGGTGACAAAATAAATAGTCGTATTTGTGTGACAAACGTGCTAGGCTAAAATCGATTACAAAGTATTGTGAAATAGGAGACAATGGTGGTGATTATTCATAATAGATTCGTAGAATGTGGGGTGGGGTAGGGAGAATTGACAAGTCAGTTCAAGGTTATAAAAGGTGTCAGGTGAGTGGCTAGTACAAAGTAGTATGTATTAAAAAGGAGAGAGGTTCATCATGAAATAACCAATATGTGAAATGAAACAGGTGGAGGCATATATTGAGAAAAGAGATAATATTACTATTCTGAAATATTCATTTCTCCCAGATAAATTTGTATGAGAGATTCTTCGAAAAAATAATCACCAGTCCACTATCAGAAGTGATCAGTCTGCACCAGAGAAAGGACTAGACACGTCACACTAGTTACCAGTGTCCAATCAAAATACCCACTACAGTCCTACAGGAGGTCAATCGCGAGCCCGAATAGCTCAGTGGTAACGTCTCTGACTGCAGACTTGACGCGGGTTCGAATCTCAGAAGGGACATGAGTTCCTTCAAGGCTGCAGATAGGCCTTGCTGATGAGTGCCAACTAGCACAAAGCCTAGGTTCAAGGTTTCCTACCGATTGCCTCCAGCAGTTTTGTTAATACCACATCGAAGGTAGTTGTTTCAAATCCTGTAGTAATTCAGGTTTTCACTTCAAAATTAATCGTTTTACTCCTTTGTATTCTTAATGGAACATAGGGGTTTGAAGTTTTAAAGGATCAGTAACGATGGTATTTTTGTAAGGGATGAGGTTACTGGTCACAAAACCAACCTTTCCTCCTTTCCAAGCTCACTATCGGTCAGTAAACTGCGAGAGGTTTTAGAGTGAGTATCATCGGCTGGAAATCGAATCATGACCTCATGTGTGGCTGGTGAACAATTCTACCAGTGGAATCACTGACGCCAGTCGCTAGACTCATTACAACACCATCAGTCCATGTAAACGAATATTTTCTCAGTGACTTCATCAACACTAGAACATTGCCAGACAAACTGTGAAAATATTCAACCACTTTTATTCTTCAGAATAAGAGTTCAATTTATGTTATGAAATTAGATATAAAATTGTTACAATTAAAACAACTTAACAAATTCATGTTGATCAATTCGATAAGGAAAATAAAGCCTAGAATAAAAGTATATGAAAAGCATAAAATAAAATAAAAGAATAGGAAAGTCGCGAGTCACGTGCAGCATGATGACCTTGAATTGTTTTCATTGATTTCTTTTATATATTTTTATGTCTTCTAATGCCCTTTTCGCCTACTCTCTGTTGTTTGTTTACAACCTACTTTGCTCACCGGCTTTGTTTCCTTTCTTCTTGAATTATTTAACAATTTGCTTACATTATTTATAGACTCAAATTTTTGTTTAGCGAATGGGATGTGGGAAGACTATATGCGGCGTATGCTACTGATAATGGTTTATAAGTAGTATGAAGATTCGGATATAAATAAGTAGATCAGGGTGAAGAATAGCGAATGACGGTGAGATGGATTTAATGCACGATACTTGTGAAACAGCAGGGAAAAAATTATAGGCAGACAAAGAGGAACAATGTGGAAGACAAAGCAGCACAGGACAGGAAATATATGTGAATTGAGATTCTACTATACGGCAGACATATTTTGCGTATATCCGTGTATCAAGTTGCAAATAAGTAATTCCGTTACCGTAATTCTCTTATCTTCTGTCGTAACAACTAACTGTCTTTGACCAGAGATGTTGCCATTCTGCCTCCCATGTTAAATGGTGTCATATGATGGGTAATATTGAGGTTAGGTGTAAAGTGTTAGGTAAGAACGCTAAATCAATCAATGAGGTTGTGAAGCTACATCGGTTGAAATGTCTAGGACATGTTGTGCACTCTGAGCCATCGCCTTCCTTGTTGAACAATGTTACCTGATATAAGATTAAATCAGAAATGATTTAGGGATGGTCAACCAAAAACCTGGTATCAATTGATGAAATCTTTCACAGTTAGTTTGAGCCACTTAGGTATGTGTAAGCTACTTAGTTGAAGGTCCTCGGTATTCTAAGAACCAATGACTGTAGACCATTGAAGATATGGCTCGAAATCGTTCTCAATGACTGGCGCAAATGCATTTATCCTTTGGCATCTTCCTTTGTATGCTGCATGGAGTTTGGCAACTTGACTTGTGTGTTACATTTCTATGCTGAAACTCAGTGAATCATATTCAGTCAATTTTCTTTTCAACAGTTTTTCAACATTGTCTTTTCTTTCTTTCTTTTTTTGAAATCTTTTGCATTAATTTTTAGGATTCTATATTCATGTTAGTAACAGATATGGGTCTTTTGAATGAACCAAAAATCGTATGGGAGTTATTGAATGATTTAGACGGTGATACACAATTTGTTGATTGTTGTTTTCAACTCTTCTGTCCATCAACACCAAGTCCAGATGAAGAGGCTGGTACTGATGCTGTTCGGATTATTACAATTAGATCGGATAAAACTAACCCCAAGTATAATAATAGTACTGATGATAATAAGAATAATAGAGCTAATAATAATAATAATAAAGATGATTTTGTTGAAAAACAATACTATCCTGATTCGTTAACATCGGGTCATGCCAACTTATCTGATAGTAATAATACATCATTGGAGTAAGTGATCTTTTCAATAGATTTCTTTATATCTTCGTGTCATTTCTAAGGTGTTTATACTTGAATCGGCGACTGATTGACTGACTGTTGTTGTCAAAAGATAATGTAGACCTTCATCCAGCACAGTAGTATACAAAAAGTTTAATTACCTACTTTTTACATACTTTAGTTGTTAGATTTCATGACAGTTTACTTTTTAAAAACCAAGACGGGCTAACTGACATTTCATATTATTATTGGCCCGTCTACGATGATGTGTTCTTTTAGAAGTGTGACTCATTTTGCTTAGGTAATAAACAGATTTAAAGTGATATTTTTTATGATTGAAATCCCAATCCTATCTAGTTCCTCCTGACCGGTCTGGTGGTATCGCATATCTTTATAAATCAACTATGGTTTATAACTTATCACATGAAAACACGTACTTAAGTAGCATAGTTTTTCAAGTACCCGGATAATACCTAATTTTGGTTTCGCATAACGGTCTAGTTACAAATTAAAAAGCTGTTGTTAAACACCTGCAGTACTTCGATGTTTAACAATATATAACTGGTCATTCGAATACTCTGTTCGCACACTGATGAGAAGGCAAGACTTATTCTCCTATGATAAACGCAAATGGATAGAAAATGTAGCTGTTTATGGAGTTACTTTATTATTATATATATTATTATTCCCTCGGGTTCCGAGTGAAATATAGGGCTTTAACAACACATCTCCACTTTCTTCTATTTGGGTCCACGATTGACCATAATCTCTCATCTCCTCCTCGCCACACGATCTCCTCCATGTCACCCTCCTACTAACGATCCACTCGTCGCCGCTTCCAATTCAAATTCCAATCGAGTGATGGCCTGCATTGCGCGCGATATCATTCGACAGCCTCCTCGAAATATGTCCGATCCGTCTCCATTTTCCCCTACATATTTGTTGAGCAATCGGTTCTTGGTTGCATCTTTGTTGCCACAGTTTCTTGTTACTAATTCTTTCTGGCCGGCCGGTCATCTGGTCTTCAGTATGGGGCCATCCAGTAAAGGAGGCAGCTGTTGATAAAAGTCTGTACCTTGTTGCAAAATTCTTTTCGTTTCTGACCGGTATAGAAGAACTGACTGACTGACTTCACATTTGTGTTCAAAATCCGAATCTTCTTCATGCTGACTGAGTGCGCAGAGGATTTCCAAATTGACTTCAGGTTGATGGAGGTGTATGTTGTCTTTCCGATTCTGGCTAGCTAGCTTTGACATCTGCATCCGTTCCGAGTGCCTGTAGTTGAAACGATGCTGACTGCCTAGATAAGTGAAGGAAGTAACCTCATTCAAATCTCTCCCGTTGATGGTGATTGGTGGTGGTTGTTGTTGCTGTTGCTGTTGGTGGGTGGTTATCTTCATCACTTCCATCTTCCCTATGTTTACATGGAGAATCCTGTCTTCATTGCTTTGTCAGCTAGTTTGTTGCTTTTCGCTTGCAAGTCTTCGAGTTTGAGTGAAATTAGACATAAATCATCCACTCACGAAATCCAGATCTTCTAGAGTGTTTTTATCGGTCCAACATATTCCTGTCTTCTCACTCTCCACTCACAGTCTGGCGCATGATCTAGTCCACCACAATTAGGAATATCATCGGTGATAATTGGCCTGCAGCCTTGTCTTACTCCTGCATTCACTTCTAATGCCTCACTGAGTTTTCCGTTTTGGATCACCTGACACGTGGTGAATGAGGTTGATAAAGACTTGGGCACCTCACGTCATAGTGTTGAAGTAGTTTCCAAATTATTTCTTGGTCGACGGTGATAATTCTTCTGAGTTATACGTAAATAATGAATAAAGTCGGATACCATTTCGTATCGTTTATTCTTCTTTTCTACATTGTATGCATCATATTTCTAACAACACAGCCTTATCTAATGCTCCACTTTATAATTTTCCTTTCCCCTGTCTCACTCATTATCTAGTTATGAGTTATGCAAAATGTTACAAGAAGAAGAGATTAAAGCTTCAAATCAAAATCCGGAGAAATTTTGGAAGTTATACAAATAAGGTGATTAATACTGTAAGTGATGTATTCTTTGATGATATTCACGTTAGATTTGTATAGTTGGACAAAGTGGCTGTATTCTCTGATACTGTTTATCAATGCATCTAGAATTATATTCTAATTAATTTTGTAATGGTGTGATTTAGTATTCAGATAAACAAATCAGACAGTGTGTTGTAACTTCATTTATCGAAGCTTTGGTCCTTGGTTTGGTGCTTGTTGTCACTGGTCAGCAAGATTTGTCTGCAATCTTGAAGGGACTCATGACCCTAGATACCTGGGTTCGAATCACCTTACTGACGAGTGCCAACAAGCATGAAACCCCTAAGTCCAAGGCTTCGTATTAGTCGCCTCTTACCATCTAACAATAGACTAAATCACTATTTAATAAAGGGACTTATCAAAAAGATACAACAAGCCTAAAGATCAAGCTGCTTCTTACTATATATAAATTCATTATGTGTCATTGACATTTTGAAAAGAAAACACTCAGGAGATTCTAGATTACGTAATACATGGACACTAATCAGGTGATGGCTAATGCAAAATCAAGTAAATAAATTGAGGAATGTAACGTAACTAACAGGAATGAATAGAATTCAAGTAAAGTTGAAAGAATATTAAGACAAGATCAGTGTTATGAGGAGTAATCGTTTTATTGTGTGTTTTGTATAGTGCATGTATACGTAGTATATAATTCATATTCTCTTTTGTAGAAAACTTAAGGGTATTTTTTCTTCAGAAAACCATTTCCCCATCATAATTATAAAAGTAACTCTAAAGTACAGCGACCCAAAAAGAAACTACCTAATAAACGGATGTAATGACATTGGTCAACCAGACAAATGACGTCGTAGTAAATAGGAGGAAATATAGATCCAGTACACGAATCACCGTTGCAAACTCCATCAGGAGGTGGTATTTCAGTATTGTTGGGATAATAGGTCTATAGGAAGCTTGTAGATGTGGGGGAGTAATTTCTCTGCAGAAGTATGCATCCGCTGTTAACGGATATGTGTACAGATATCCAGAGTATCGTTACAGAAAATCTGTCCGAGAAGGTATATCGTTTCTTCTTTAGGTTCATGCGTAATGTAGAGCGGTGAATGAGTTGCTAAACAGCATGATACTTGGTTATTTGGATGAATTTATGTACAGAAATAGCAATGGACTATCATTGAAGACTTAGTTGTGCTCTCTGAGCTGGTTGATTTAATTGCGAAACTTTCGTCGTCCTTCTAGACAACATCTTCAGCGCACGTTTTAGTATAGAATGATCTGATTGGGATAATGTAGAAATCTTAAATAGAGAAAGCACTGAAAGTGCCAACAGGGAATTTCTAGAAGCCTGGTACTCAAGTGAATCAGCCAGCGATTAACAAACACATTATTATAGACCAAACTCACTAGCTAATAAAAAGTAAATCACATGACAAGAAAGTTGAAGTTCCAAGTCAATAAAAATGATCAATAGAGACGTGAATTAATAGCCAATTGGGACAATGGTTGCCAGGAGATACACGTATATCATTCATGATGAATTCAAATCAGTTCGTTCCATACTAAAATCTACGCTGAAGATGTTGTCTAGAAGGCCAACGAAAGCTTGGCAATTAAATCAACCAGGTCAGAGAACACAATTAAATCGAAATCATCCACCTGAGCTACAAATCTTCTCCATTATTAGGAGGTTTTCTTGGAATACATACGAGAAAGTTACCCAGTTATAACTACTTTTTAACACTTTGATGTCTATGGAAGACTTCTAAATTACGCGCATTTACTACGGGCTCATCTAATTGGTTGATCAAGGTCACTACGTCCGTTTATTAGGTTGTTATAGATCAAAGTTACCGTTGTAAAATTTCATTGGTTAACTAAAACACATCTGCCTACATTGTATTGTTCACTTTATTCTGTGTTTTTTTCCTGCTTTCTAATTGTAGGTCACAGTGATAATTTATCAGCTGTCCCTTGTTTAATGATATGATATGATAACTGTTGTGGATAGATGCATACATTAAATATACATATATCTATATTTCACACTGCAAGACACCACATGTGAACTGTGTTATAAAAATATACACCCTCTATTTTTTGTAGAAAGCATCTATAGAACATGCTATTTATTTTAACTTATAATTACTTAAATCTTTTTAACGTGATAGTTTTTATTCCCGCTGTTTGAAAGTTCTTTTTCTTTTGTAAAATAGAATACCATCTATGTACATAACATATATTACCATTTTGTGTGTATATTTTTTATGCAGTAAAGACCAAGTTAGCTAGTTGAAAGGGGATTACCACAAAAAAACCCAAAGTGGAATCAAAATGATCTACAAATATGTGTGTGCATGTGTCTGCCTGATCTTTTGATGTCAGTGCTCGTTAAGATCAAATTCACTGAATAGACAAGTGTCAAGTCTTTCCCTTCACACATACAATAACAATACACACGCACACTCATTGACGGAGATTATAATAAACAGATTTATTTTGATTGACGATTATTGTTGTTATATTTTGTTACTATGATATACCTGCCCTCTATCTTTATTTACACTTCACTAATTGAATTCTTGATTATTTTATTCATCAATATTAATGTACAGTTGTGATGATGATGTGTGATGACAAGAGTATGAGTCAAATGTGTGCAGTCCACGGTATCCGCCTACCTCTTTCACACCGTCTCACTAACTTCTAGATGGTTGTTTTCTTTTTCCTGCACACACACATAGCAAGACATGCAACAATATTTGTTTATTTTTAAAACTTGATTGAAGTAAGTTCAGCTGAGATGTTTACAAACGTAATAACGCAATAAAATTCTCCTATTCTTCAATTATTAAAAGTAGATACATCTATATAAATATATATTTATAAGTATACAGTTACTTTTAGTAAAAATTTGAGTACTATACTCATAGTCAGTTTCACATTGTGTGCATTCTCATTCTGCAATGTGATATGACTACAGTTTTATCTATTTCATGTAATGATTCTTCTATATGTTTACTTTTCTCTGCAAGTTGCTTATTTTTAATTTTGTGTAAATTCTTTTCTTTTTTCCCTTACTTCATTTCATTCGTATTATATATCATCTATCTGTATACCATTCAGATACCTACATTTATTGATTTTATTGTATATATATATTTTGAGTAACCATCATTTCAATCCAAATTAATTTCGACGAAATAATAACGTTTCTTCTTTTTTTTAAAAAAAAAAATTAAACCAGAGTGATAATTTTCCAATGTCTATTAGCTAACTGGCGACTAGCTGGCTACTAATGACAGTTAGTTAGTTGTCTTTATTAACTAACTTTTACAATTTCTCTTATTATTTTGTCATTTTGCTCAGTCACATGTTAGCCAAAATCCATTTTGAAGAGAACATAGCTACACCTTTCTCGCTTCCTGTACATCCGGAATATAGAAATTATTACGTTTTTTATACTTTTATTTGACAACAGTGATACGTATATCTATATCTATACATATATATACAAATGAATACAAATACAATGTGTATCTGGGAGCATAAATTTATTTACTGATTACCTCATATATATATATATATATATATATATATATATATATATTGAGAAGAGACTTTTTTCCCATGTTATTTTTTCAAATAAATAAATTATATGCAGTAATGGATTTCTTTTTCTTTCTTAACTAACTGTAATGTAATGTAATTGCATGAATCATCTATTTTATTTTCTATTATAATCTTATTATTAAGTGACTGGTGATGACTACATTTTGTTTGATTTCGCTTCGACGGTTTTACACAGCCTGTTCCACCTGAGCGAACTAGTCAGCATCATCATCAGCTGTCACATACAATGAGGGTGTGTGTGTGTGTGGTTCACAGCCTAACAACATATGAGAAATGTCTTTGATTGCATCAACACTAAGAACCAGACATATGACACTTAGCATCCATTACAGTATCGTCGGTGGCATAGTGTAAGCGAGGAATCCATTCCAGTCCCACAGGAAGTCAATCGTGAGTACAAATAGATTTAGTAGTAACGTCTCTGACTGCAGTACTGGTTAACCCAGTTTCGAATCTCAGAAGGGAAGTGAGTTTCTTCAAGATTATAGATTATTATGCCTTGATGATGAATACCAACAAACACGAGACCTAGTTCGAAGACTTCCTGCTGATTGCCTCCAAACATTTAACATGAAAATGTTACAGGATTTCATCATGAGCTGACATTGGTTAGAGAACCATTGGAAAACCTGGAAGTACTGGACAGCTGTTTCCCCGGTCCTAGTTTGGGACTCTTCATCAGTACGCACCCACAGCCAGGGTTCGAACCCAGGACCTTCTGGTTACAAGGCGAGCTCGTATACCATTAAGCCACTGGGACCCGATCCAATGGCCGGTGCATGAATTCCAACTTCTGCCAATTCACGACATAGCGCAACCACTAGCCAATGTCTTCGGCGAGTATTTGTCCTCACACCCGACCTGCTGCACCCTACTGGTCACGACTTACCACTGGAACCCCAGGTAACTACCTACATGAATAGGGCCAGTCGCCAGTGAGCATCCCATTCCAATGGTTCTCTAACCAATGTCAGCTCATGATGAAATCCTGTAACATGAAAATGTGTTTTGGTTAACTAAGATTTTCAATCAGCGAATTAGTCCATCTTGTCTGTGTTAACTTTTCATTGTGATTTGATTATTGGGCATGTCTTATTGATTAGGAGGTGGTAAGAGACTGGTGTTCCCTGTAGAACAATTATTGGGTTGATAGACAAGCATACACACAGAGCCCTACAACGCTACAGTTGAAGTTCCTAAACTTTAAATCGGTTTGCATAACATAGAAGATAATGAGAAACGGAAACCACAGAAAGTCCAAATATAATAAAGTAGTTGTAGAAATGTGATATCACACGATTCATCCGTGGATAAACGAAACATGCATCAATACGGCCAAAATTGTGATTCCTATCACTTAGATAATTCAGTTATCACTTGGTTCTCAGCTAAGGAAGCTAGCTTTATTTGTGTAGCTTAGACCAACTATCAAAGTGTTGATAGATTAATTCTGTGTTCCATCTCAACCATCTTCAGGTTCATTTCTACCTAAATTTTTCGCTTCACTGGTGTGCTAAAATATGCTTGCAAAAGTTTTCCAGTTGTAGTCTTCTTTTAACTTTTCAAGTATATGTACATTGATCCTAATCAACATGTGGTGAGCATCTCAGCACACTCCGAAGGAGGAATAATCTATTCATCCCTTTAATTAATAAATGGTAGTAACGTAATCCACTCTAAAATTACTGAATTTTTGGAGAGAGCTGTAGCGATTGATCACAATTATCGATGGAATAGACCAACATCACTAAATTGGTACATAAAAAGACTTCACATCTTTCTTATGCACAGATGTTTCTTATTACATCGTACACATTTTGAATAAAGCTAAATAATCTTTCTTAGTGCTCCTTGTTCTCAATCTCCATGCTACAGTTATCAAAAACGCGTTGATGTAGGCCAAAGAAACATATTCATTCATGCGTCAAAATTCTTAACACACAGCTCTACCGGAAAGCCATTAAAACTAGCTAGTCTCCACCTCATTCGCATAAATCCAATTGTGTAAATGTTTACTTCCATCTTTAGCACTTTATACTTAAGTTGCGTAGTCGGCTAGCACTCCACTTATTTTAGTTTGGGTTGCATCATCAACCCTCCTAACATAAAAGTGGCTCATGCTCTGACACCTGATTAACTAACTTTGGATTCAGTTGTAGCCATCTGAACGGCTACACTCGGATCTCACACATACATAGCCTGGGTTAACAGCGTCCAAAAGATTAAATATACTATATATCGAGTTGCATGTGTTATTTACCGACTTATAAGTTCGAGTTAGTTCTGGATAACTTAAGGCTGATAGCATGGTCAGGTGATTATTATTATTATTAAAATGGCAGATTTGAAACAGTCTGGGTATAATTACCACTTGCCTTTTATCATTCGACTGAGGGTAGAGATACTGTTTGGATACTCGGATTGTAACATCTGGGGGACCTGACTACTACTGGAGTCTAGGATCTAAAGTTTAACCTGCAATGCAGAGAATCATCACCAGTAGATACATCTTCATATTTGCAAGTGGACAACGTATGTTTTGAAGTCATCAGTATAACTGACGTTCGTCATACATGACACTTTATGGTTCAAAAACAGTTATACCATAACACATAAGTAGTTAAGTTTTACGGATGACATACCGTCGTACAACTTCGATTACGAACGGCCTGCGATAGCGTCGATCGAGAGGGGCTTTGGCAACTACTTCTCTACTATGGAGTGCCACTGACAATTATACATCTCATCCAACAGTTGTACGACAATGCTGCATGCCAAGTAATCCACAACGGAAAACTTACGGAATCCTTCGAAGTGAAGATGGGAGTAAGACAAGGCTGCCTACTATCACCAATGATTTTTCTGATTGCAGTAGATTCGATAATGCGACAAACAGTGGGCAATGAGGAAACAGGCATAAAATGGACTCACACAAAAAACTTAGAGGATCTGGACTTCGCCGATGATATATGTTTGATTTCCCACAAACTGGAAGATATGCAAATGAAAATCAACAAGTTGGCAGAAGAAGCATCAAAGATAGGAAGGAGTTCAGGTGAACATAGAGAAAACAGAGGTGATGAAGATTCCTGGCCAACACCACCAACAGCAACAACAACAATCAGCATAAATGGAAGGAACCTGAAAGAAGCGACCTCCTTCACCCACCGACCTGGGAAGCATCGTTTCAACTACAGGCGGAACTGACGTTCCTCTAGGAATTAAAGGGAACAATAATAATAATAATGAAACCACCTACTTTTATCTCACTACTATTGACCGGATTTGTGATGGTTGGAAATCTAACTTCAATGCAGTGTGGTATAAATAAGTCGTCGATCCTTATGACGTATTCAGGGATGTTTTACTGCATTCTTAAAACTTGATAATATCTACGCTCGGAGGCATTGTATTGTTTCAGTGGTGTTACGGGTTGGGTTCTTGAGACTAAGCATTTTGTTGACTACTACTTCATTAGGTAAAATACTTGCTTCGCTTCAAATATATTTCTAGGTGATGCTGAGTTATGCGTCCTAGTAATCCAAATAAAAAATGCCTGACTACTTTATGATATAGAGGGTTAGTGTCAGATGATAATTAACGCATTGACTTTTGATTCAAACTGAACTATTCATATAGCTGTAGAGATTTTCTTAACTATGAAGTTCAGTTTTAACAAATTTTCTATAGAAATTGTTATTTCACCTGTTAGATTGCCGACAAACAGTATACATACAAAAAAATATGATCAAGTTCACGTTCGTATGAATACGATATTAAATAATTAGTTAATTACACAGAATTCATTATTATTATTATTATTCCACAAGTAAGAATCGGAAAGGTAAGATACGCCTTCACTAACGTGAAACTAGTTTAGAAATCTTCTGCACTCAGCCAGCATGAAGAAGAAGATTCGGATTTTCAACACAAATATGAAGTCAGTCACTTCTTCTATACGGGTAAGAAACTTGGCCAGCGTGTCACGAAAAGCATTCACAACAGCCAACTGCAGACTTTTATCAACAGCTGCCCCCATACTGAAGGTCGAATGGCCGGCCACCCAGAAAGAATTAGCAACAAGAAACTCTGGCAACAAAGAGCCGATTGCTTAACAAATATGTGGGAGAAAATGAAGATGGGTCGGGCATATGTTGAGGAGACCATCGAATGACATCGCGCGTAATGCAGGCTACGGCTAGAGTGGAACTCCAATGGGATGTGACGAGTGATTCGTCTGTAGTAGGGTGATATGGAGGAGATCGTGTGGCGAAGGGCAGATGAGAGATTATGGGCAATCGTGGGGACAGCACCAAATAGAAGAAAGTGGAGATGTGTTGTTGAAGCCCTATGTTCCACTCGGAACCCAAGGGAACAATAATAATATTGTGTATCATTTGAATTATATAAGATAAAGACTCTGTTTACTGCAGGAGTAATACACGTTTTCAAAGTAAACTGAGGATGTTTTATATTATACCCTCATCTATTCTAAATTAATGTATTAAGTAAACGTTAAGAATCAGCATAAAAGTATTAGGCCTTTTTTCCTTATTTTAACCAAATGTTCATTAAAAAAGCAGTTGTGTCTTACGTCAATTATATAAATATTATAAAACGATAGGTACATATTTTTCTTCCAAAAAAGCTCAATATATGCATCTATTTTATCATAATACAGTTAGAATTAACTCTAAAGGAATGCATTTCTTAGGATCACTAAAATATACATAATATGTCTACTTAAGTACATAAAATTTCCATGTAATCCAAATACGGTCCCATTTTTAAATGGTTTAATAGACTGCTTACATAAAATATATCGTATTAGTAACTGATTGCCCACTTGTTAAACAATAGCCATAGCCTCTATCACCACTGGAACACTTACAGCGTTTTTTAATCCACTCTTAGCATTCAACATTTGTATGCCTATAGCATCTTGCTGTGTTTTCCCTGCTGAACGAATTAATTATCGTTGACTGGACATAACACTGGAAAAACTCATTTTTATCATACGTTATGACAAATCTTCACAAAAGCTGTGCGTCGGTGGCACAGCGGTTAGGACTCTCACCGACCATGCACATGGTCCGGGGCTCGACTCCCTGCCGGCGCACACTCGATATCAATTGTCGGCCTGCAAAATTTGGGCTACCGATATCCATGCTGAAAATTCCATACTTGTACCAAAAATACTATGTGGTTTCAAGCTATAATCAAAATAAAAGAATAACTTTCCTGATAATTATTACTGACTTACTTTTGATTCTCTAGAAATAGTACTCATGTTCTCCCAGAGGTAACATTATAAGGAAGCGTAAGAAGGTCTATGTAAGTGTATATCCCCTAGATAGAACTTATAACTAAAAATTTGAATGGATAACTCTTGTGGTCGAATATTAATTGGGACATTCATTCCCACCGTAAATGATATATGCATCTAGTGTCTATATGATTGCATGGGGACTTGTTATTATTGTTTCCTTTAATTCCTAGAGGAACATAGGGCTTCAGCCGTGCGTCTCCATTGCGTTCGGTTCTCTGCTAGAGTTTTCACCTGGCTCCAAGTCTGCCCACACGTTTTCATCTCCTCTTCACATGACCTCCTCCAAGTCACCCACCCTTGCACTGACGACCAACTCGCCGCTTCCCTTTCGGGTTCCACTCGAGCAATGGCTTGTCTAGTGATGTCACTTGATGGTTTCCCCAGAGTATGGCCAGCCAATCCATCTCCATTTCTTCCTGCCTATTTGTTTCACAATCGGTTCCTGCTGTGTTGGTTCGCTCATTGCCAGAGATCTCTGTTGCTGATCTTTTCTGGCCGGCCATCTGATCTTGAGTGGTATTGAGCGAAGACAACTGTTAATGAAGGTCTGTAGTTTGTTTGAGATGCTCTTTATGACGCGCAGTGCAAGTCTCTGATCCGCATAGTAACACTGACTTCACATGGGGACTTGTTAACAATAAATAAATGTTCCAAGGAAGAGTCCGTCACTTACTGAGACTAGCCAAACGACCAGTATGAACGAAAAAGTGCTGCTTCACCCTCAGGGGTATGAACTTACATTTCTATTTTTATGACTTGACATTTTTTCATTTCGCGATTCATAGTGCAACGAACATCCAGTCTGTATAGTAAGCAAATGGTTCTGACACTCAACTTAGTTCTATTCGGAAGAGAGTTACAACTGTTGACAAGCAGAATGAAACAGCTGTTTTGTACTTCTTGTTACTTCGAATGATTCCCTGGTTAATTTTGATTCACTATAAACTCTCCTTTGAAATCACTCACAAGTGAATATAATATTCCTCTATTTGTACCTCTGTGTTCATTACTACAGATAGTTTCCAATAGGTAATCTGGTCTAGATGTCTGTTAACTGTTTATCGGTGTAGAATTAGTTGATGTCAGCTGCTAAAGTAGAAATAAAACATTCATCAATGCCTTCAAAAGATCATATATTTTTTCAAAAAGCATTTCGGTCATCGTTTATATAGCTGACATGGTTAGAGAACCATTGGAAAACCTGGGAGTCCCAAACTAGACGAAACAGCTGTCCAGTACTCCCAGGTTTTCCAATGGTTCTCTAACCAATGTCAGCTCATGATGAAATCCTGTAACCAATCATCCAAATCCCTACAAACCGATACTGAATATCGTTTATTATTTGTTTTTTTCTAATCAAAAGTCGGTACGCCCTTTTATTAAACCATCACTTTTCTTATCTTCAATAACAGGACGACAATCAACAAGGAGATTATCCAATCGATTTTACAAGCTGACTTCTTCATGCTTCGTTCATCTGTCCGTTTGTGTTTAGGAGTTCACCCAAAAAACTCCTTTGCTGTTCTATCGAAGCATATTATAACTTCACTTCATAGTATTCCATTAGATAATGCTAAACACTTAGCAGATCGTTTACTTCAAGGTGATCGTGCATGTCTAGCACGAGCAATTACACTTTTGGAGTCAACTAATACTGAACGTCGGGCTGAAGGTCAGTACATACTTGACACAGCGATTAAATATTTAGCAGAACAAGAATCAACAACTGGAAAATATACTTTCAGAATTGGTAAGTATAAAATTAATTGAGGTGAAAATTAAAAATCACTCACTGTAACCGCTTATCGATAAGAGCTTACAGGTATACTACATATATTTATATATATATATATATATATATAACGTATATGATACGTTTATAATCTGTGATAAAAAATGTTGATTTAGAGTATTTCCTGAAAACCTTCAACGTGGCACATCCATCAATAAAATTCACCTTAGAACGTGAATCAAACATGGCATTTCCATTCCTGGATGTATTACTTACCAGAAGACAAGACTGTACGATCCAAAAATCAATATATCGCAAGCCAACATGGACCGAACAGTTCATCAACTTCCAGAGCTTCGTCCCACTGGCCCGAAAGCAAAACCTAGTACGTACATTATGTTCAAGGATTTGAAAAAGCTGTTCGGAAGACATGATAGAGAAGTTAAATTCATTACGTGAAACTCTACTAGAGAACGGGTATCCACCAAGATTTATCGACAAAAACATGAAGGAAAAGCCTCCGTCGCCAGAAATCACAACTGTTCCTAAGGAGACTCTCTTCATGAACGTGGAATTCAAAGGTGACATAGGAGCAGAAATTCTTAAAAACCGCCTTTCCAAATATCTGACGAAGACATTTCAAGCAGCCACCTTACGCACCACGTTCTCCAGCAGACAATTTATCCAGTCTAACGTTAAGGACAAGATACCGCTTTAGGCCACCTCAATGTGTATTTATCAGTTTACTTGTTCTTGTAGAGGAAAGTATATCGGCCGTACGCAACGTCAAGTCTGCAGACGTATTCTGGTACACTGTCCAGCTTGGCTAGCCAGTGGAGAAACGAAGAATACTAGCAGCTCCATCCTCGAACACGAATGCTTCACAGTGCTACACAGAGTCCCTCAACATCGTACGAAAGGACTTCGAATACGCCATCTGTATAAAGCGGAATCATTGGCTATCCGAAATCTGAAACCGGGCCTCTGCATTCTAAAGCACCACATAAATTCACTCGTTTTACCGTGGCTAGAGTAACTTTCTTACTGTAATTTTGCTTATTTTTATTATGTAAGTTTATTATTATTTTATTATCATTATTATTCTCATCATCCTTATTTTATCAGTCTACTACTGTTTATTGATAACACTGCGTTTTCATACAGATTTTATAAAAACAATTTATCGTCTTTCCACTAGATCTTGTTCACTCTACACAACCATATTGATTAGTCATTTTCTCACACTTATTACATCATACCAACTTCTGCCCCCCTTCTTAATTTCCAATTAGTCATCCCATCTAGACTACACTCTACATTACGTAATACGTTTTCGAGGACAAATTTTACCAGTATCTGATTGGTCTTATGAATCCTTTATTAAATATAATTAAGATTGTGTAGCTCATGAAAATGAATCATCGAAAAGAAAATTTTTTTCGTTGTTTACGTCTTTTTCTTAAAACTATATTAGTTTGCTTATAGCATTTAGGCCTTGAAGCTTCAGTAGATTAGCTGTCACTGTTCCCTGAGGAGGGATCACGGCTAAATTTGAAGAGTTCAACTGATGATCGAAACCGCGTAGATATCTTTCCGGTGAATCCTAATAAGTATGTTACAAATCTTTCTGATATTACTCTATCTACTCATCAGAAAGAAGCTTTATCCCTTGGACTCAAATTTTGTGTTCCTCGTACGCAATTTACGGATTTAGCCATACATGCCGAGTTTGAAAACTTATGTGACCAACTCAAACCTCTTGCCGCAACATCCGATGAAGATCGGGGTTGGTTTAAGGCCAAGATGGTGGATATAGCTCATCAGTTTTTAAACAACAACCCAAAGGAGAAAAGCATTTTTAATTCCCAGCATTTCAAAGCCTTGAAAGAGGTACGGGAATATTCTAATATAATTATTACGAAACCTGATAAAGGTTCTGGAGTCGTTATTATGAATAAAAGTGACTATATTAGTTCTCGTAAATTTTGTCACTACGATTCACCAGTTATTCTCTCATCCCTTAGTTCTACATAAGTCACCTGATGTTTTCTATAACTCATAGTTAATTTCATCTGCAAAGTCTTCTTTTCTAATCAATACAATTTTAGGTCTTTCTGGTCCTCCTGGTGCTGGGAAAAGTACATTTATTGAGGCATTTGGTAGTCGTCTTACAGGCAGTAAATCATGGAATCCTATTGTCAACTCGTCTAGACAATCCTATTCATCATATAAGAACACATCAGAAACAGAAAGAAATCTAAATGAAGAAGTCAAAAGACCTCGTCGTGTAGCTGTTCTAGCTATTGATCCTTCTTCACAAACCACTGGTGGTAGTCTCTTAGCCGACAAAACTCGAATGTCTGAATTAGCTAACGATTTGAATGCTTATATACGACCATCTCCAAGTGGCGGCAATTTGGGTGGTGTTGCTCGAACAACCAGTGAATCAATTTTACTTTGTGAAGCAGCAGGTTTTGAAACTATTCTGATAGAAACTGTGGGTAGGCTTGTGTTTATTTTTTTATTTTTACACATAATCAAGATTTCTGAAAGTAATTGAGTAAAATTCTGTATTATGTATATGAGAGAGAGAGAAGCGATCGAGGCAACCAGGGGTTTTTCACTACCGAAATTACGCTGAATAAGCTACAATACAACAATGTAAATAATCTTAAGTGGCTACATGTATGAAAGCTTGGAAATTGATGAATAATGAGTTTAAAAGCAATGTGGAATACACGCGTAAACTTAAAGAATCCGAATTCTAGCGTTAATACTCATTACGGTTAGTGGAACGTCAACTATTGTTGAGTAATCTGAGAGAGTTTTGGAAATTACAGTAGTTTGAATATTCCCATTATGATAATTATAGAACACAATTTAAGCAAGCAGATGTGTATTTTCGGTAAATTCTCATCTGGTTTTATATTGGTCTTATACATTTGAAACAATGTGGACAATACTCACTAAGGCGACTGTGGGATCGACCGAATCGTTCTACCTGTGTAACTATCTCCACATGAACAGTTAAATCTACAAATGCTCAATGAGGTGACCAGACTTGACAGCTTATCCTTCATCTGCATTGGATGTCCACTTTCCCCATTTCTGTTTAACTTCATCATAGATATGCTAATGGAAGTATCCTTAACTGAACTTAACGACTTAGGAATCGACTTGTTACCAGGGAATATTCTTATGGACTTAGAGTATGCAGATGGCATAGTCCTGTTAGGGGAGGATGCTGAGAAAATGCAGAGTCTTCTGAACACCTTGAGCAGCAATCTTCGTATGTTTGGCATGCGATTCGCCCCTGTAAAATGTAAGATGCTGCTACAGGACTGGACTACGTCTACCCCTAGCTTAGTGATAGGGAGTGAAGTGATAGAACATGTTGACCACTTCACCTATTTGGGAAGTTGTATCAGCACCAACGGATTGATTGGTGACGAAATCTCAGCACGGATCCAAAAACCTCGAGCTGCTTTCGCTAACTTACACCATCTCTGGCGTAGGCGTGACATCCGGCTATCAACCAAGGGACGTGTGTACTGCTCAGCAGTTCGCTCCGTCCTTCTCTATGGCTCTGAAACATGGCCAATACGAGTTGAAGACATGAAAAGGTTGACTGTTTTTGATCATAGATTTCTACGATCTCTTTCTCACGTTAGGTGGTATAATAAGGTAAGTAATGTTGACGTTAGGCGTAGAGTGTTGGGCAAAGAGGGAAAATCAATCGAAGAGGCTATAAAGTTACATAGATTGAGATGGCTAGGTCACGTGCTGCGCATGCCTAACCATCGCCTTCCCCGACGGGCATTACTAGCTGATATATGTGCAGGTTGGAAAAAAGCAAGTGGTGGCCAAACAAAAACATGGCCTCATCAATCCATGAAATCCCTGACAGTTAAACTGAGTCAGGTAGGGAGATGCAGACTTCCGGGTTGGGGCCCTCGGGACTCTAAGAATCAATGGCTGGAGACACTAGGTGACATGGCTCAAAATCGTTGTCAATGGCTTACGCAGATGTATTCAGTCTCTGTAATCTTTCATATTCCTTTCTACCATTACTCATTCTGTTTCACTCTTATACTTGTCAAAACTCTATTGATTCTCTTCACTCATTTTCTTGTCTACCTTTGTGTGCTATTTGGAACGTGGCAACTCGAACTGCTGCACTTCGGTGCCAAGTTCTATGTTGAATCCAGCCATCTTCATTGGGATTATACAACGAGTGGGGAATTTTAATCATAGTTTTATAAGAAAGAATGTTATAGGTATTATTTTTCGGAGTCTTGATGCCAGTAATTCAGTGGCTGGTATAGTCATGCTATATATATATATATAATTATATATATATATATATATATATACGTTTCTTCTGCACATTTTGCAGGCATTTTTCTCCATCCATTCTCATCATAGAGACTCTAATAAATTTTTCTGGATATCAGCTCTTATTATTTCCTTATTTTATCGTCACGAATTTCGGTTGTGCATATTTTGCAAGCAGAAAACGTCAGGGTAATGATGAGATTTCGTTTGTATGCAAGAGGAACAAACAACCTGAAATGGTTGTATTAGCCAATTCATGTTTTTTTCTGGAAAATACCCTGCTTAGTACTATCATCTTGTCTTCTTGTTAACAGGAAATCTTTCACAATTTATTATTATTATTCTAATTACATTCTACTTGATTATATTTGATTCTAATGACCCACATTGTTTCAAATTTGTTTGACTAATTAATATTTTACTATGTATTTGTAAAGCGTGATGAGAATTTACCGTAAATACGTATTTGTTTGCTTAAATCGTGTTCTATGACTAGAGTAGTTGTCAAAAGTCAATAATCATGGAAAATTCCCATTGTAACATATAGAAAATCAAAACAAATGATTCAGCGAAGAGACTCTTTTCAACGAATTTATCATCAAGCTGTACAATCGTATATATATGGTTTTTTTTTTTAAGAAATTATATCCGGTGAGGGAATCAGGTCAAAGGTGTGAATCTGAATCTTTTTCATTTGAACCACTTGATATTTTAAACCTAAAATTATTAGTTTTTATATTTTTATATTTTGTACAATATTGAATTCTGTCTTATCAAATTTCATACCATGTTATGTAACATTTTATATTCGTCTACTAATCTTATAATTATGTACCCTTTTCCAAAATCTATACACCTTATGTATTATTCTATATACGACATTAATTATTGTGCCACTTGACATTAAACTATGATTATAATCACAAATATTTTAATTGCATTTCATACTATTATTATTTCATGTATTCACACCTTTGACCTAATTCCCTCACCGGATATAATTTCTTAAAAAAAACCATATATATACGATTGTACAGCTTGATAATAAATTCGTTGAAAAGAGTCTCTTCGCTGAATATTGTGTTCTTAATGCTACAATGGGAATTTTTAAATTATATATAGAATAATTCATAGGATGGATAGAACTTGAAAAAGGTGTGCAATTATAAGATTAGTAGACAAATCGAATAAAATAAAACGTTACGTAATATTGTGTGAAATTTGATAGCATAGAATTTAATGTTGTATAAAGGAATTGATTTAGAATGACAAGTGGAACAAGTGAAGTAATACCGGGAACAATTAAAAGTGAGAGTAGTAATAGTAACAATTGACGTAATAAGGAAGAGAATACAAAATGAAAAATTGGTAGAGCTAAAATATGACTGGGGATTACCATACTTTAGCATAGAGGGATTAAGACCATGAAAGTTGAAGGGGTTGAACGAACTTTTTCTGTACACAGAGATCTGGCTTTTCTGTTTCGATGGCCAACGCTTCAGCAATACAGATGAGTCGGGTACGTAGGGATTTGGGTAAATTACTCTTTGCCTTGTAGATGACTTTGAAGGCGGAGGCTATAGAGATAGGGTGATCATTATCGACCAGATGTTCAATGATCGCGCTTCTTATTGCTCCACTTCCACCTTTTCGTAACCATGCAGGATAGTGTTCTTGCACCCTCTTAGTTTTAATTGCATTTCATATTATTATTATTTTATGCATTCACACCTATGTTTCAATTCCCTCACCGGATGTAACTTCTTAAAAATCATATATATACGATTGTACAGCTTGATGATAAATTCGTTGAAAAGAGTCTCTTCGCTGAATCATTTGTTTTGATTTTCTAAAAGTCAATAATTCTACACCTTTATATGCTAACTGACAGATAGTACAGTCTAAAAATATTTATTCAAGCGAAGTACACATACTTCGCTTACTTACTTACTTTAAAGCACATATTTATAAAACTATCAGATGTGAATTCCGAAAGTAGACTATTCATTATGTGATAGTCACAAATAGTAAATGAAGGTTGATTATAATCTTTGCTATGCACTCGATACACATTTGTTATCCGCTGAGCATATACGCTAGGCTCAATAACTTATTACTTGGATCATTATTGTATTTTTAAAACATCTGACTTTTTTTAATTTACATTCCAAGAGTCATACGTATTATACCTTAATCAGTAGAATGGAATGCAGATGAAGTTTTTTTTCAAGGATAATGAGCTTAGCTTTTCTGTTGATAGACACATACCAGCTACTCCAGTCTGTAGCCTGAGGAAACTCACCTTCACTATGAAATTCAACGATTTCTTTGTTTCACCTGAAAGGTAAACGCAATGCAGAAATGTAATCACAGTTTTATAGTTACATCTCAAGATTAGATGAATAGTCACGAAAGTCACAGCAACATTTACGCCCAAAGGTGGAACGTAAGAGTTCATATAGTAAAACTTATCGAAGAGGTGTTCCACTGTGGAGTACAACTTTATCATTTATTACCCATATACTCTGTCTAACAACATATCTGTCTTCGCGCAACGCAAAAAACTAGCTTGGATAGGTGTTTTTTATTTATTTATTCAAATGAATGACTCACCTAAACGAACCAATGTGTTACCACAGTTTTCTCTCCTCTTCAAAGAAAACAGCTTATATTTCAACACTTTGAATTTTATATTAGAAGAGTTTTAGCTACGGCTATAACAATTATGTCTAATTCCAAGAGTCATACCATTATGGTCATATATTTAAGTCTCAAGTAGGATCACAAAATTATATAACAGTTAGAGAACCACTGAAAACCAAAGATTACTAGACAGCTGTCTCTTTGTTTGGGAACTCTTCAGCAGGGATCGGACCTAGGTCGCTTAGGTTATGAAGAGAGCTTATTGCCCATTCGAACATTGGAATGAAATCCAATAGCCCATGAGTTCTAACTTCTACCAATTCGCGATATATAGCGCCACCATCAATCATTGAGACCGGCCAGTATTTGTTGTCACACCAGACTTCGTGGACGCCGCCGGTCATGACTTTCTACTAGAACTCCAGGAATTCCATCCAGTAGTGAGTCACTAGTGAGTTTTAGACTAATTTTTATAAGTTAGTCTGTAAGGATTCCACTAGTTTCAAGTTAGCTCAATTTCGATCTTCAATGGGATTATGAATGCATACTGCTGGAGAGTCCCAAATTAGGACGAAACAACTGCCTACTACTTCCTGGTTTTCAATGACTTTCTAGCTGATCTCATTTTGTGATTTAACTTGGAATCAATCAAATCCTTGAAAACCAACACTTGAATATAAAAGAATTCTTATTTTTCAGTTATAAGAAAGACATTGAATGTCTGGAACAGAGGACAGTTACTCTTTCAAATTGTATAACCATATTGCGCAATTTCCTAAGGTTGTAAACTAGATCCATTCACTTAATTCAACAATAAGATTCACTGTTTTATCGTAGTGAAACGATTTATATTATAATTGTAGGTGTTGGTCAATCTGAATTTGCTGCAGCTGATATGGTAGATATGTTCATTTTAATCATTCCTCCTGCTGGCGGAGATGAACTGCAAGGTATAAAACGAGGTATTGTTGAGGTTGCTGACTTAGTTCTTGTCAACAAAGCAGATGGTGAACTTCTACCTGCCGCTCGTCGTATTGCTAGTGAATACTCAAATGCCCTCAAATATATGCGTTCACGAAGACAAAATTGGACTCCAAAAGTAACATGATTAGTTTTTAATGGTATTAATTAAATTTACAAATTAGTTCTGAGTAGCATTTAAAGTTCATTCTTTAATATTGTTTGGTTAATAGTGGCTAGCAATAGAATCTAGGACATATGGGACTTCGTTCTACTTAGGACTCATCAACCAGATGTACCAGCATTCTTAATGAGCGATGGTGTCCCCGCTGCATCCATTCTTTCGAATTTCGAAGGGATACTGACTAAACTATGAGAGACATCTATGCGATCGGTCGAAATTAGTTCGGATTTTTTCGTTATTTGAATTTATCGAAATCAGATGTCCAGTTTCTTTTTTCTCATAGAATTATGAGTAGGCTAGCAAACATACTTTTTATACTGTCAGCTAAGTGTAGTTGTAACTGCTCTTAATTGATGATAAATTTATACAGTTGACAAATTCAGTAGGTGAATATTCATGTTGTAAAAGTTCATTAGTCGACGGCTGTTATAAGCTGGTAACAATTACGCATGAACGTTGATACATCCTAGCGATTTTCGATAAAATAATCTTTTCTGTATGTTATTTATGTAAGCTGCTGCAAAATATCAGGAAAATGGGGTTTCCACTGAACTGCAGAAACTTTTGTCTATCACAAAGCAGAAATAACTAATACCCTATTGCACAAGAGGTGTTTCTCACAACACAGCGGATGATACTCTGGCATTCGAAACAGTGGATGCTGGGTTGGAGTCACAGTAGATACACCATCACTCACTACGAATACTGGTACATCTGGCTGACGAGTCGTAAATAGAACAAAACGCTGGATTACCTTCAACAAAACCATCACGTTAACCTAACGTAGGAGTACAACATCATCAGTGATTGCGTCATATAACTTTTCAGCTACGTAGAATGATTTCTTTTACAAGTGAAGTCCAACTACATTTTAATTTTTCCTCAAAAAGACTACTATAAACCACACTAGAAGTAATGGTAATTTTTCATTCAACTGAAATAATTTTAAGAAATAAAATTTTGACCAAGTCAACCACAAGATTAAATAAAAATTAAGATGGAACAGCAGTTTACAACAACTTTGTCACTCTGAAGTAATTTGGTGGATGGTGACTAGCAGTGAAATTTAGGATGTTTAGTTTCGTCGTAAGTGGGACTCGTCATCTGCACGTACCTGCATTCCCCAGTGCCCATCGTTTTAGACTCCAAAGCATTACCTACTAGACCACTTGGATCACGCATCCTGGATTCCACTGCTAGTCACCATTCACCAAATTACTTCAAGTTCATCCTCTCACATCATCGAAGCGTCTGTACCAGAAACCCATAGAGACCGACAGTTCCGCCCACTCAATCAACTTTAAAAAGTAACAAATAATAACCTTCTCACCCCTTTACTGTATATTCACGAATTTACTACCTAGTTGATTACTTTGTGGGGTAAAATTAACAACTGAGTATCATTCTATCGTTTTCTTTTCTTTTTTTTCTCAAATAACATATACCCTACAACAAATCATTAGGTAAAACTTGTGTCTAGTTTAAATGGTGATGGTCTAACAGAATTCTGGTCTACTGCATGTGAATTTCATTCTTCTCAAATTAAGTCAGGTGAATTACAAAGAATACGAAAAGAACAATTAAAAGTAAGTCGGTAAACTGAAGTTGGTTGAGTAAATGTTTGTGTTTTATTTTACACCTCTGTTCATTTCAAGTGTCATACTCTACAGTTCAGTGATTAAGGACAATGGAAATTAGTTGATTTTTTTTTAAAAAAAGCGTTCCATTGCCTACAGATAGTCAGTTGGAGAACTATTGAAAACTGATGCTCAATATTGTCGCTTCTAAAATCTTTTCCCTATGAGATCAACTAGGTCTTTTATAAGAACAGTTACTCTTTTCTGACACTGAATGATGATTGCATTATATTGAGGATTACCAGGAAACATAGTATATCCTGTATATAGTTCTGATCCGTTAGCTTCATTTTTGTGGTAAGTTATGATAGCTCTCTCCAATAAAAATACTAAGTCGCGTCATTCTGGAGAGAATAAAAGATGCACTGGATACAGGACTCCGTCGGCAGGAACAAGCTGGATTCAGGAAAGGTAAATCATGTGCTGATCAAATTGCAAATCTACGCATCATCGTCAAACAAAGCACAAGAGTGGCAGTCGAACCCCTCCCTACCTTAACTTCGAAAAGGCCTTCGGCAGCGTTGACCGAGAAGTAATTTGGAAACTACTTCAACACTATGGCGTGCAGTACCCAAATCTTTATCAACCTCATTCAACAGCTGGCTATATGACAATACCACGTGTCAGGTGATCCACAACGGAAAACTCAGTGAGGCATTAGAAGTGAATACAGGAGTAAGACAAGGCTGCAGGCCAATTATCACCGATGATATTCCTAATTGTGGTGGACTAGATCATGCGCCAGACTGTGGAGAGTGAGAAGACAGGAATATGTTGGACCGATAAAAAGACTCTAGAAGATCTGGATTTCGTGAGTGGATGATTTATGTCTAATATCACACAAACTCGGAGACTTGCAGGCGAAAAGCAACAAACTAGCTGAAGGAGCAGCGAGGACAGGACTCCAGGTGAACATAGAGAAGACGGAGATGATAAAGATAAACAACCTATTTAACCAACTTCTGCCAATTCATAACATAGCGCGACCACTGGCCAATGTCTTCGACGAGTATTTGTCCTCACACCCGACCTGCTGTACCTTACTGGTAACGGCAGAAGTTGGAATTTATGGGCTGGCCATTGGATCGGGTCCTGGTGGCTCGCCTTGTAACCAAAAGGCCTTGATTTCGAACCCTGACGGTGGATGCGTACTGTGAAGAGTCCCAAACTAGGGCAGATGAAACACCCGTCCAGTACTCCCTGCAGGTTTTCCAATGGTTCTCTAACCGATATCAGCTCATGATGAAATTATCCAGCCAATCAAACAAAATCCCTACTTACGAATACTTGAAGATTGTTAATAGATTGTAGTCTAAAAATATATACATATATATGTGGTAATATGCAGAATTGTAATACTAAATTGAACACCAATATTACAAAGTAAATGATTTTGAATGACAACCAATTTATAGTATGTATGAGTCATGCTCATATTAAGTTCTATTCATATACATTATAAACTTTAGATGGCTGAGTGATCATGTCAAGGGTGGGGGGAGAGAAAAAAATTGGGGTAGAAGGTTATGCGCTGTGTATGATCTTGACATGATCATTCACCCATCTGAAGTTTATAATCAATATGAACATGACTAATGAGAATTCATTACTACGCATTTGTTGTCATTCCTAATCATTTACTTGGTGTTCAATCAAGTATTACAATTATATATGTTACTACATATATATTTTTTAGACTATAATCTATTTACAAATAAATGTTAGAATTCTGATCTAAATGATTCGATATTACGTTTAAAAAAACACTAATGTTATCAATAACAATCATTCTTTCATTATTATGGATATATAACTGCAGAACCTGATGAAGAGAAAGTTACTTGAATATTCCCATAATTTATTCAGAACAAAATAGTTAGAGCGAACAATTGTGGTTTCAATAAATTCTTCTTCAGGCTCTACAATTATAAATCCATTAATTTAAGCATACAGTAGCCGTCAGTAAAGGCAAACTCACCAACGGATTGATTGGTGACGAAATCTCAGCACGGATCCAAAAAGCTCGAGCTGCTTTCGCTAACTTACACCATCTCTGGCGTAGGCGTGACATCCGGCTATCAACCAAGGGACGTGTGTACTGCTCAGCAGTTCGCTCCGTCCTTCTCTATGGCTCTGAAACATGGCCAGTACGAGTTGAAGACATGAAAAGGTTGACTGTTTTTGATCATAGATGTCTACGATCTCTTTCTCACGTTAGGTGGTATAATAAGGTAAGTAATGTTGACGTTAGGCGTAGAGTGCTGGGCAAAGAGGGAAAATCAATCGACGAGGCTATAAAGTTACATAGATTGAGATGGCTAGGTCACGTGCTGCGCATGCCTAACCATCGCCTTCCCCGACGGGCATTACTAGCTGATATATGTGCAGGTTGGAAAAAAGTAAGTGGTGGCCAAACAAAAACATGGCCTCATCAATCCATGAAATCCCTGACAGTTAAACTGAGTCAGGTAGGGAGATGCAGACTTCCGGGTTGGGGCCCTCGGGACTCTAAGAATCAATGGCTGGAGACAATAGGTGACATGGCTCAAAATCGTTGTCAATGGCTTACGCAGATGTATTCAGTCTCTGTAATCTTTCATATTCCTTTCTACCATTACTCATTCTGTTTCACTCTTATACTTGTCAAAACTCTATTGATTCTCTTCACTCATTTTCTTGTCTACCTTTGTGTGCTATTTGGAACGTGGCAACTCGAACTGCTGCGCTTCGGTGCCAAGTTCTATGTTGAATCCAGACCAGTAAAGGCAAACTAGAATCATATAAGAAATATATTGTGGAACAAGTTTAAAATGGTTGGTTTCTGAAGAAGCATGGTGCATATATATAGTGGTGTGAGACAATATGAATACCTTAGAATATAAACCAGACGTAAGGTCAAGGGTGAAAATAACTACAATAATATTGATTGTGAAATAATAACGGTGATGTGGTGTACACCTAAAAGTACTCTCCGTGAATGATTATCAAATAATAATAATAATGAATTTAGTGAGATGAAATGAACAGGATTTTGTAAATATGATAACAAGTTAGTCATGACCATGTATATTCCAAACTAACTGACTATTGTTCCATCCCATCTTATACTTTTTTTCCACCATACACTTTCTGTTATGATTCTAATTTGTCATTACTGGCGGCTATCGTATGCTTAAATTAATGGATTTATAATTGTAGAGCCTGAAGAAGAATTTATTGAAACCACAATTGTTCACTCTAACTATTTTGTTCTGAAGAGAAAGTTATCAAAAAGAATATTCTTTGTTCGGTAATCAATATTTATACTTCTTAGAAAGTTTATTCAATATTGATTTTGTATGACCTACTTTTTTTCAGCTTCTGTCTTAAAATCTAATTGTTGAATATTTGAATATATTTGTAGATTAATGTACTAATGAAAGTTAAATAAAAAAAACTGTCATCTAACCATATCGTATGATTAATGTTAGAGGAATTAGAAACAAGTGTAGAGTATTAATGTTCTATGAAGCTGAAAGTAGACTACGACTATTAACAGAACTTGATCTTCTTACTTTCATATGTGTTAGCAACAAGTTGGAAGAAGGAGAAACAGCTAAGACAGACCACCTTCAAGTGAACATAGAGAAGATAGAAGTGATAAAGATACCAATCAACTTCAACAGGGAAAGAAAATCTAAAGAATTTACTTCTTCTACGTAACTAGGCAGTGTTACCTCAACTAGAGGCGATATGGGTGAGGGTGTCAAAGCGTGACAGGATTGGGAAAACAAAACAGCCCTTTTATTGTTATTCTGAAATCAGTGTGGAAATCTTCTACAATCAGCATCATCAATAACAAGATTCAGAGATTTTCAACACTAATATCGAGTTGATACTTCTATATGCTTCAGAGACTTGGTGTGACCATCACCAGCAACATTTTCAACAGGCCTCAGACTTCTATCGACAGCTGGACAAAAGAATTAGTAACCAGGATTGCTAGTAATAAACCAACCAAGAACCTATTGCCTTACAGATATAACAAAATAAATGGAGATGGATCAGGCACACGCTGAGAAGACATTACGCGCCAGGCCTTCGAGTGGAAAACAACGGGTAGGGTGTCGGAGTGTTATGTGAAGGAGAATGAGAGCTTATGGACAATCGCGGAAACTGCAAAGAACGGGATGAAATACAGATGTGTTGTTGAAGCTGTGCGTGTTTCACTCGGAACCTAAGAGATTAATAATTACAAACTGCTATTGAATCGGTAACCATTTCTCTTTGAACGCCTAATGAATTATCAACTCAACATCAACTGCTTTGTTACTGAAAACTAGATATGTATATACAGAAGTCAGATGTACGTCAGTCCTAGTTGCAAAGCTACTAAAAAATAAACAAACAACTCTTCTCTTACTTCTGTCAACAATGGTTCCCTAAAGGATGATAGTAGGCAAGCGTTAATACATATCTAAATTGCCTTAGTTTGTTAAAATTTGCCACCTCATCAATTAACTTTCCTTTCTTATCCAACCTTATTGTCTAATGTCAACATGTTATCATTTCCATCAAGCATAAACAGCCAGAAAGTGGGACACGACGAACTGCTGCTTTATACACATCTTATTTAGTGACAAACCCGATGTTACCAGCGCCAGAAATGACAAAAGTACGGCAAATGTCCAAGTGATCAGATCATTAAAGTCGATGCAACTATTTAAATAAGTGGAATGATTAGCGCATTAGATCAAGTCACTCTCAAAATGTATCATCATCTTAGAATAGAAATGGATGAATTACTTACCAAACATATTCAGATAACTCAGCATTTTCTGACTGCTCTCTGTCTGTCTCTTTTACGGTAGTAATTACTACCATGGATGTTTATCTCTGTGTTAGTAAACACACAATAAAACTAACCGAAATTATGAAATTAGGTATCCTTGTTGAACATCAGCGATTATCATCATTTTGTGAGCCAATATTCTGTAGTCTATTATAAGGCTAAGTAATTTCCAATAGGGTGCTTCGATTAACATTACACCTTTAACAACACCTCCCATTGAATGTGATCAAACGTCACCTTTAGGTCAAGAAATATAACATTTGTTGAATGTAGGTAAGCAAATCTGTTACAAAACCTGTTGAAGGGTGAAGATTTGAACAGTGCAGGCTTGTCCAGGACTGATCATTTTCGACTAATTATAAACCTTAGGCTTTCAAGCATAGAATTTGGAGGTTGTTTTACTTACCATAGCTTTTATTGAATCCGTTTCTTCAATAAGCCTAAATAAATTGATGCGTATTATCTAATCCTAGTACTTTTTTGCATACTACGACTACGAATGTTTGGCATGCGATTCGCTCCCGCCAAATGCAAAATGATGTTACAGGATTGGACTACACCGACCCCTAGATTAGAAATAGGAAGTGAAGTGGTAGAGCACGTTGACCGCTTCACTTATTTGTGAAGTACCATCAGCCCCAACGGGTTGATCTCTGACGAAATCTCAGCACGGATACAGAGGGCTAGTTTCGCATATGCCAGTTTACGCCGTCTCTGGCGTAGACGTGATATCCGACTATCGACCAGAGGGCGTGTGTACTGCTCAACAGTCCGCTCCGTCCTCCTTTATGGCTGAGACCTGGCCATTGAGAATGGAAGACATGAGAAGGCTAGCTGTCTTTGATCATAGGTGTCTGCGTTCTATATCCCGTGTGAGGCGGTGGTATAATAAGGTGAGCAATTTTCAGGTTAGGCGTCGAGTGCTAGGTAAGGAGGGGAAATCAATCGACGAGGCTGTGAAATTACATCGACTGAGATGTTTAGGACATGTGTTACGTATGCCTAGTCATCGCCTTCCTCGACAATGGGCAATGTTAGCTGACATAGGGTCAGGCTGGAAAAGAGCTAGCGGCGGTGAAACCAAAACATGGCACCAGTCAATGAAATCTACAACAGTTAGTCTAAGCCACGTAGGAAGGTGTAGACTTCCTGGTTGGGGTCCTCTGGACGGTAAAAACCAATGGTTGGAAACAATTGGTGACATGGCTCAAAATCGTTCTCAATGGCTGGTGCAGATGCATCCACTCCTTGTGATTTCCAATGAAACTGTTTTGTTCTTCGTTATTACTATTCCTTTGTCTCACACCTCTGTTTACTGTCTCTAATATGCATTTCCCCTACTTTCTTCTCTTGCTTTGAGTGCTACATGGAGTGTGGCGACTTGAACTGCCGCACATATGTGCAAAGTTCTATGTCGAAAACAGACAGACAGACTAACTATAGTGCACACGAGAACTTTTATCTTTAGGGCAGCCAGGCTTCTGTAGAATGGGTCCTGTTGATATCCTGAAATAAATATTTGGACAGGTCAAATAAAAACTCGGCATTTTGATCTATAAACAAGACACATAGAGGCTTCACAGCTGTTCACCGAATGCATACATTTGCATAGATGGAAACACTATTAGAATTCATGTAGATGCTTTATAAAAAACGGGATTTTCTCGTAAATTAACATCAATGATGATATATGGCATAACAACTTATAAAATAGGTGATTCGATAATATTTTCGCTTATATTTGAAACTATTACCAGTCAAGACTATCTAAAAAAAATTGTGAGGAATATTTACTCTTATTGGCTCGTTGTGCCTAAATCCGACTGATTCAACTTACTTCTCAGATGAATATTAGAACCACTCTCCAATATGGCGTTGAGAATAAGCTTGCAAAAACAAAATGCTATAAATTATTGATATGTAGATAGCGTGTTACACGTAAATCCTCAGCCTTACTGTGGAAGTCTCCGCGCATTAATATATATATTCTGTAACCAGATTATTTATGAAGTGATACTAACAGTGCTTTCCGTATTAACATCTTGATATTTGAAGCTTCAAATCTAATAAACAACTATGTTTGCAAGTTCTCTAATAAATATCGATCATTTTCCTTCTCTACTATATCCTTTTTTTCAATCAGATATGGATGTGGACATTTATCAAGGAGGGACTTTGGTGTCGGTTTAAAAATAGTCCAGTAATTAAAGAACAAACAAAAGAAATTGAAACGCTACTATTTAACAGAGAAATTGCTCCTGGTATAGCAGCTGAAAGATTAATGGATCTTTATTACAAAACTTTTCTAAGATAGATTTCATTTTTATCAGCACATGTACACTAACTATTATCATCAATATTGTCTTAATTTATTACAATCAAATAGCTTATTTGTAGAAAGTGATTTCAAATTGGCTGATGTACTACATTCTACATTTTGTGGTGTTTCTTCTTTATGCTTTCTATTACTTATAATACTGGGTACACTCAGGAAAAATGCTTTACTTGTCATTATAAATAAGTTTAGCAGCATTTTACTTTATATTTGAATTTATTTTGATCAAGTATTATTGAATAAAGAGATATTTATGCAAATAATTCATGTGAATTTCATTCATACAAACACGTACACAATAATAGATTCTTATGTGGAACTGGTCACTGTGAAAAACAAAGTACATTTTCTTTTTAATTTAATTGTTAGACGTCAATGACATTTTAAGTTTATTCAAATTACCGGTATTTTGTGAGCAGAAATCTCACTACCTTCTTCAGTAATCGTATAACATTATGGCCACAGCCGATAACATTCTCCTGTTGATCAATCTCAAATACATAGAATGATACACTTAAGCAGTATCCAAGAATCTCTAGTCTCTTTAGTAGCTGTGAGAATTCTAGTGAATCCCCTCGACTAATACATTCTTTCACAGGAATTCCCTCACAGCAAAGTGCTTTAAGATCTAGAAATATAGCGAGTGTTAGACGCAGGTATCCCAGAACCTGTGATGATGTAGTCCTTTTGCCCTCGCCTAGACTTGAAGTTCACCTGCTTTTATAGGTCTGTTTATTTCGGATCTACTTAGTGCTAGAAGGACCATAGGAAATAAATAATATATCATGTTAGCCTAGGTTATGCATCTGTAAATATTATAGGAGTGTTTCTCCCCCTTCTTGTAAACTCAGATTCTCATATATTACCATAAAAACCTCTGGAGTCATACCATCAGACCTTGCTGTCTTGTCTCAATGTAGACTAAAGATAGCTTTTGCAACCACAGCTACAACTGAGATAACAATTCCTGCATCACACTCACCTGTATGCCAGATGAGTCACACCCCGAAATGTTTCTTCCACCGTTCAGTCCATCGTTACTCTAAGGTAATTGAAGTTCCATCCATTTCATAGGTCATTTTACTCACCACGGATTCTTTACAGCTCGTTTGTCTGATGAGTTTAAATAGCTGTCGGATACTATATACTTCCTGTCAGTAGAAATCGCTTTCCATCTGCCAGATGGAATGGGGCTACAAAATCTACTAGCATTAACCAACCTTCGGTTGCAAGTTGTTAACATCCTCTACTTCAGTTGCTACAGCGGACTATAGAGAACGCCAGGCTTTCACCATATGAATATTGCTTTCCTTGTCAAGTGTATTCAGTTATTTTTTCCCTAAATAAAGACTTCGTGTTCTCATCAAGAAGCTGAGGGCATCACCATTTCCTAGCTGCTTGTTTCCAGTGTCCGTTTAGATGTAGGAATATGTGAACACGGAAGGGTACCTGATTGGAGTCTACGTAGGTGTTGCAGAAGGAACGATCACCTTCAACTGAGCGTCTCCGTCGATAACGTATTACTACATCATCTATTAGTGTCCATCGCTGATTTGTTGGTGGAGGTCACCATGTGAAATTACTACTGACCAGGAATAGATAATTATTTGCACAGAATTGTAAAAAAAACTGTACAATCACATTTATCTACATAAGTCAACATGACTACAATTATTATTTAGTTCGATATAATAACGAAGGAGAATGACACGCTTGTTATTTTCAACTTGATATGAAAGTTCGGTGTGAATAAAGATTGCATGCGGCAAAAACACAATATTGCATATCACGCAACTATTTTCTAGTACTAAGCAGTAGTGGTGGAGTCAGTCGATGAGGTTGTGAGGCTGCACCGATTGAGACGGCTAGGACAAATGCTGTGCATGCCGAACCACTGTCTTCCTCGTCGACCAATGTTAGTCAACACAGGATAAGGATGGAAAAGAGTTTAGAGTGACCAAACCAAAACGTGAAGTCTTGACATGAAGTCTTTGACTCTGCAATTAGTTGTGTTCTCTAAGCTGGTTGAGGTCTTCGGGATTCTTAGAACCAATAAGTGGAGGCTTGGCGATATGGTTGAAGACTATTCTCAGAGGCACAGATGCATCTTGTCTTTATGGACTACTAGATCCATTAGATCCTGATTGTTCTCTATTTACTTAATTTTCTTCTCGCCTACATTTCTGTTTATCATAGTTCGTTTGATTTATTTGTCTACTTTTGTGTGCTATATGGAGTGTGGTAACTCCAACTGCTACATTGCTGCGCAGAATTCTATATTGAAAATTGAGTAAGTTAGTCATAAACAGTGTGAGAAGAAATTATAAAAGGAATAGATATTTTTTTAAATATAGAAAGCGAATTTCCGCACAACCTATTTTGTGAATACCGACCACCAAGTGAGCCACCAATAAAATGTCGATTATCATTTTAAGTTCTCGTAATATGAGATAATAATAGTAAAAGGCAAAACCACCAATCAGTAAAATGTATTATACTTACCAAAAAGCATTATTTTAAAAATACATGTTGCAACATTAAATTATTATTTTGTAAGTAGTATAATAATGAACTACTAAAAATACAGCAAAAGCTCGTACTGAATATCCTATTTCATTTATAACGACCATTGCATGCATACAAAATAATTGATTCTACTACTAGTAAGTTATATCAGTGGAATGTGAAGAATTTAAATGTCATTATACGATTATAATTTTGATAGACAGAATATACAGTGAAGCACTTCAATCCCTTATTAAAATCACCTCTAGAAGACTTCACATATTAGGCTAAAAGTAACTGAATTAATACAGTCTACATAAAAAAAAATAAGAAACAGTAACTTTCAGTTGAATAAATTATTCCCAGTATACTGACGAGTTCATGTGAAATAGTAGCCTAACAGGTATACCGAGAGATTTATCCACAGTAACCTATGGTGCCGCACATGTGTCATTTTCTCCATATAACTATTTTGAAATGTAATCACTGATATTTTGTCATTTTGTAAACTGACGTCGTTTACTAAATACTTATAAAAATAAAATCTTACAGGGAATGGGCATTATATTCAATACCAGTAGCTTTAATAGAAACAATTTTCGCCCACAAAGAGCGTTCATTCCAGTTTCTGATAAGACTGCACAATTTTTCATCATGATATGATTCAAGAATAAATCCGAGTACAAAGCCTCCAAGACCTGCACCAGTAATTTTCGCTGGGATACCAATCTGTTTCATTTCTTCAATGATTTGATTTACAACGGAGTTTGATACACCCAATTCGTTCAATAAAAACTGATTTCTAGTTACATGGTCGGAGAAAGACTGTTTCAGTTCTCGGCTCAATGATTTTTCCAAGATGCTACTTATGTCTTCCACGATGGTTCCTATCTCTTTAAAAATAGAATTCACATGAGATTTATCTTCTTTCCATAGATCAGAAACTTTCTTCACAGCTACAGATGTGCGACGAATAATGTTAGTGTTGACTAAAAGTAATCTTATGTCGCTAGTATTTGGAATATCTATTCTTCGAAAGGAAGGAATTCGGTCTTTCCAATAGACGATGGGACCTCCATATGTGCATATTGTAGTGTCCAAGCCCGATGACAATCCATGAATAATACATTCAGCATCCCTGGACAAGGAAGATATCAATTCACACTGAGTTTTGTCTGCACTCCAAACTTGTTCAAGTGGGAAATATCCAGTTAATAATAAAATGGCTGTAGTGGCAGCAACAGAAAATGCACCCGATGATCCTATACCTGATCCTCTTGGAATATCTGACTGAACTGTGATTCGTATGAAGTGTCTTCCATTAAAAAAAGTGGGGACTGAATAGTCACATTCATGATCCCTCAGTTGTAAAGCACGAATGAACAGATACAATAACACACATGTACAAGTAGCTAGAGGTGTATTTTCAGAAGAATCATATGAACAGCCAAGTATCTCTGATGCTAACATCCATGCACGCTCCGAAACAGATAATGTACATAAATTTGAGTGAAAAATCTTGATTGGTATGTAAATACTTTTTTCTGATAAATCTTTAAAATCTACGACAACATTTTCACAAATTTCATCTTCAATAGTAACTGTAAAATAACAATGAAGACCAATTGTAGTTGCAATAGCTGGATAACCATACACAACAGCATGTTCACCGAACAATATAGCTTTTGCAGGAGCAGATACAGTGAACTTCTTCATACGTGATAGATACTAGTATTATCTGGCAGACAATTCATTCACAATATGTTTTGTACCACACGCAGAATTGCCTAAGATAACCGAAAAGAAGGGATTATGTTAAGCAGTGCACTAAAAATAAGAAAGGAATGAGGATAAATAATACTAAAACCATACAGCAACTTTAACATGTGTACATCTCCAACTCTATAGTTATAAATTATTCTTAAACCCATAAAATCTTAAAAAATGAATAAATTAAACTATTACTTTTTGTATTGATTAATGTAAAGTAATAATAATAATAGCTTTATTCCAAACAGTACTTTTGGTACCAATATGGAATTTTAGGTATGTAGTACAATATTGCATCTAAGTTCTACATGGGCTCAATAATCCGTATGGTGTGTGAACCTCTCTCGATCACCGGAAACGATGAGAACGTCACTCTTGACGCTGCTTCCCTGCCTAGTGGATCAGACTTCAATTCAAAAACGGGTACAACCACCTGCTTCAGTTTGGGCGTCCGAGCAGCATACCAGCCCTCGCACAAACTATGAGATTTTGTACAGTGCATATCTTGATGTTCATTATGTAACAATTCTATGTTTTAATAAGTGAATAAATCACTGTTCACCGTACGCAAACCGACAACACAAATTATCTCACTGAAGTTTTAAAATATATGTCAAACTCATGGGGAGAATTCATAACCTGCATTTTCTCACGGTAACGCTTCTTCTTTATCCTATCTACCTGTACATTTCAAACATGTCAGTCATTTTAGGCAGAACTAGATCAATTTAAGTTGTGATGCCTCAAAACAGTCAAATGAAGAATCAAAACTAATGATACTGTAGACAAATGATATAAGAGAATGAATGAAGACCTGTGGTAAAAGAATTATGACAAAAGATGCATCACCGTGATCACCGACATCCTAAAGAATCAGTAGTTGGAGACTTCATGAACGCGGTTTGTGGCTACTTAACTACCACTATTCATTGTAACTGTTCAACCTTTCATCTAGCTTTGTAATTCACCTACATCATTAATATTAGAGACGAAGCATCCGCAGACATACAGAAAGTGTATTTTGCAATTCCTAGCTTTTGTCACATGTGCCACCTGTAATATATTTAAATACCAGAAAAAGGTGTATTGCACAATAATTCGGCTAGTCGTACATCCGCATGAACGAGCACTGAAACATTATGCTACTCAACAATATGAACTTCCAAGTAGTCAGTGGTGAGCCACACCCAGTGCAATAGCTCTGCTGATACTACCTAACTGCTCAAAGCCCAGTAATTGACGCATGCTTTGAACCTACAACCTCAACTGACCAAGTTTCGAAGTAGAACTGTACAAATACAGCATTACGGTTTCCGCACTGCATGTAGCACACAAAAGTAGACAAATAAATCAAACGAACTATAACAAACAGAAATGTAGGCGAGAAGAAAAATAAGTAAATAGAGAACAATCAGGATCTAGTAGTCCATAAAGACAAGATGCATCTGCGCCACTGAGAATAGTCTTCAAGCATATCGCCAAGTCTCCACGCATTTGTTCTAAGAATCCCGAAGACCTCAACCAGACAGTTTACACCTCCCTATGCGGCTGACTGGCTTAAGCTGGCGGTCAAAGACTTCGACATAATAGAGGAGATTTGTAGCTCAGGTGGATAATTTGCAAGCAGTTGTGTTCTCTGAGCTTAGAGAACGCAAGTACTTGCAGAGTCAAAGACTTCACGTTTTGGTTCGGCCACTCTAAACTCTTTTCCATCCTTATCCTGTGTTGGCTAACATTGGTCGACGGGGAAGGCAGTGGTTCGGCATGCACAGCGTTTGTCCTAGCCGTCTCAATTGGTGCAGCTTCCCAACCTCATCGACTGACTTTCCCTCCATACTTAACATTCCATGACTAATATTAATCCTAACTATATTATACCACTTAACAAAGATAGATAGAACGCAGATACTACCTATGGTCAAGGCAGCTAGCCTGTACACAGCTTCCACTTTCATTGGCCATATCTCACTGCCATGAGGAAGAACGGAGAGAATCCCTCCGTAGTACACACGTGTTTTCATCAACAGTGAGACATCATATCCATTCTTGAAATGACGGAAATTGGCAAACTATAAGCCAGCCTTTCACATATTTTCTGTGTTGTCATCAACCAGTTCACCAACGGTAATACAACTCCCCAAATTATTGGAGTGGTCAACACATCCATCCACATAATCCTACTGTCTATTCTTAAACTAACAACGCAAACTAGTCATAAATCACCATCTTACCGCTTCTGAAGTATTTATTATCTGATTAGAGTTAATGAAAGGCTTGTGATCCTTCCTCACTAGATATCACAACGGTATGTAATAGATCAGCAAGTCAACATAATGTATAACCTAGTATAGCAAACTGAAGCTATTGAAATACATACACACATGCAAATTACAAATAATCGCGATCCCAGCCATTTTGAATCTTCTTATTCATCATAATTATTTATGTGCGACTAGTGTCGACAGCTGGCTACATTTACCACGGATCTAGGTCTATTCGGCTCCTCAGTTGTTGGTTTTGTATTTTCATTCCCTTTATTTTTTCGTATTCTGTTATAAACAGTATCACTTTATTTTCTGTTACTATGCCCATCCCACTTGAATCTGTTTTCGTTGGGAACTACTTTATACGTTACGCGACTAACTTCTACACCAATTTAATTTTGTTTCTATATCTCTCGTGACCCATATTGATACCTTTAAAACTTATGTGCCAAGTTGTAAATTGCCTCCACTAATCTCCCTTCGTTACTATGTTGAATTAAATAATAAGTGTTATTATATAAACTTATGTATGAAAATGTGATTGCACAGCTTTTGAGGATGATATTCCCGAAAAGATGTCTTCACTGAACTCGTTGTTCTTTTCTCTCCGATGTACCAATTGGTATTTTTCATGAGTTGGCTACTTGTCAAGATGTGTGCAGACGTCGTCCGTTGGTTGTTGCCTTCCTTTTGTCGGAAAGGGGGATCACATATAGTGTAAGCTGGCAAATAGCAAACGGCCTTTTTTACACATGCCGAGATTTTGTTAAAAATCAGTCCATTATGGTTAATGCGATTTCCTGAATAAGTTAAATGGTTAACGAGCCCAATCATTGTAATTTGTGCATGTAAACTGGGAGTCGGTGCAGATCAGTTCCGTGACCAAGCGGTTGGAACCTGAGAGGCTAGACGAATAAGGTTGGCATGTGTTACACATACCCGAGCCACACAAATTCTCAGTTTCCACTTCTGACTTACTTCCTATAAACAGCGTTGATCTTTATATATGTCCAAACCAAGTTCACTTTTAACGGTTTGAAAAAATTTGGGCATTGGGTATATCATATTCATTATACTAAAGGTTTTTGTATTTCCCAATGAATGAAAAACAATATCGTTTTGTTTTTAGTATAATGCGTTGATCTTTACCCTAATATTTTTCATATGGTCTCACCTGAACTAATTAAAAAAAAACACTAAGGCCAATGCAGTGTAAAGTATGTCGTGTTGAGTTGTGGCTTATTCGTCTAGCCTCTCAGGTTCCAACCGCTTGGTCACGGAACTGATCTGCACCGACTCCCAGTTTACATGCACAAATTACAATGATTGGGCTCGTTAACCATTTAACTTATTCAGGAAATCGCATTAACCATAATGGACTGATTTTTAACAAAATCTCGGCATGTGTAAAAAAGGCCGTTTGCTATTTGCCAGCTTACACTATATGTGATCCCCCTTTCCGACAAAAGGAAGGCAACAACCAACGGACGACGTCTGCACACATCTTGACAAGTAGCCAACTCATGAAAAATACCAATTGGTACATCGGAGAGAAAAGAACAACGAGTTCAGTGAAGACATCTTTTCGGGAATATCATCCTCAAAAGCTGTGCAATCACATTTTCATACATAAGTTTATATAATAACACTTATTATTTAATTCAACATAGTAACGAAGGGAGATTAATGGAGGTAATAATTTACAACTTGACGCAATTCCATCGAATTGAATCACTCTATATTAATTTACAGTAAATTCAATTACTTTCCTTTTAAATACTGGATATTTACATGGAAAAATTGCATACGATCGTTCCAGTTATGCATACCTACCAACGGAAAGAAAAATGAAAACTATAGGTTTGGTGTCGGATTATTATTTGATGTTATCTCGTGTTATTACATGAGAATTTACCTATAATGAAGTTAAGGCCAGGATGACTGCCATATACCCAAGCAAAAACATGGCAGCAATCAAAGAATTTGTGGGCAGATTAATGCAAGATCGTTGAAGTTATTTAGGAGCCATTTTCCAGAAACAAAAAAATTTTTATATGATAATCTTCGAAGTTATAAAATAATAATGATGAATTTATAAAGTAGTTCTGACTTCACGAATAACTGCTGTTCACTGTGGTTAAGAGACAATACAAAACTAGTGATCACTTAAGGCAACCACATATTTCTTCGGAGAGATTTAGGCGTGGGAATCAACCTTGGTTCCACATCACCTCCAAGGTCATGTCAGCGACCGAGTTTCCAATGTCCTATATCTTTTTGATGAAATTTGTATACCTTTTTGTGTCAACCTTATGATGTCTTATCACTCGCTTCTTGTTTTTAAAAGGTTCCTGGCAGATTCCAGAGCAAATTATTCGCTCAGTTGCTGTATCCCTGCTGAATGCTATCAGAAGGTGTACGATGGTCTACATAGGAGAAACGGCTGAAACTATCCCGCATGCTCAAGGTCATTGATGGAGTGAAACGCTCAAAGGTCATTTTCGTCCATGTTAGTGGGTAATGTTGGATTGCAGTTCCGTAGCCGTTCGTTTACACATTGGTTTTACGTTCTGTTGGCATTTATAGGTGATTCCCATGTACTGATAGCATTCTTTTGTAAAATAGTACTGTTCTTCACACGAAAATAGCCACATTTTGACGTAGTCTTCATTGAATGACACTATGTCGAAAGCTGCAGCTTCTACAAGAAATAAACTATTTGTGTAGATGACATTACCCCCCAACTACCCCATCTTCTTCATTGTAGAGATGTTTTGACGCATTCAGCATAAAACACTAATCATTACAACCAATATGCTAAGTGTGTCGCAGTCAGATTACATGGCGCGGACACCAACATAACTAGCCAGGAAATGAGAATTCCTATCAATCCAGAAAACATATAACAAAATTTTATTAAAAATTACTGACAAAAAAATTTGCCGAGCGAAATTTCAACCAACATGCCGGATAAGTCCAGCCGGAGAAACAATTTTCAGCAAGGCGGCAGTGCTGCTGTTAATGGGTAGACTTTTGGCAAGCTTTCACAAAGAGATTTAGAAGTGGTTGGACAGAGTTGGTAGGCGAAACGACTGGTAGGGGATAGGGATTGGGTGAAGGCATGAGAGACTATGGCAGAATATTGACTAACGGTGAAAATAAAGGAATGAGATTGATAATGACAGAGACAATAAAACAAGTTTAGCGTAAAAATTTGAAGCGTGTGAAAATAAATGGGAATTTATTAGTGCTGGAAATAATGTACATTAATATCAAGTCAGTTCTTCTACATGGGTCAGAAGCCTGGCGCGGCTCAAGAAGCACTATTAACAGGTTGCAGACTTTTGTCAGTAGGCGCCTCTGCTCTCTTTTGAAGATCAAATGGCCAGAAAGAATTAGCAACAAGAAACTATGGGACAAAACTAGCCAAGAACCTATCGTTCGGCAAATGGATTTGGCACAGACTGGGGAGACCGTCGAATGAGATTGCGCGTCAGGCCATTGCTCGAGTGGAACCCGAATGTGAAACAACCATTGGGCCGCTGGAGGGTAAGACAGAGGAAATCGTGTGAGAAGGCGATGAGAGATTATGGTCACACGCGGATCGAGCTTAAGTGGATAGCAGAATGTAGAGCAAAGTTGAGATGTTTTGTTGAAGCCATATGTTCTATGAGGAACTAGTATACTTCCCCTTTGGATGTTCCAATGTCCGTTATTTATTAATTATGGTCCATTCGTCTCTTGAAGCCACTGACAGATGGAGCGACGGTCATCTCATATAGTAGTAAATTTGAAAAATAGTAAATTTTAAGACAAAAGAACTCAGCTTGCGTGGTCTTCGCTGTTCTTTTGATAAGCAATTCTGAAAAGGTTCCTCTTAAGACCATTCTGACGACATCTACAGTTAATTATTCCACTACCAATTTCATCGTGCTCAGCAGACTATGACTCAATAGTTTCTGGTACAAGCTACTTTTGTACTTCATATTTTAATTTTTATAGTTACTTAGCCCTTTGCAATAACGAAACTAGCTTGCTCCAAACAAACTTTAGGAAGTTCGAAACAAAACCAAACAGCTACAATTAGAGTTATATTGATAACAGAATGTTGAAGAGCTAAAAGATTATTGTTATATCAAACAAATTTATCAGACAAACATAATACAAACCTTTAACTATGAGGTTATCTAGGTCCAAACACCAAGGATACAATAGCTGAACCTTAAATGAGCCCTAAATTTAAATAATTTCAATCCAGACAAGAAATGTTCGACAGTCTGATGAAGCACAATCAGTCTGATTAACACAAAATGCAAACTTGTATATAAAATGCAACTCTAGCGTTATAAGGTGGAAATAATAGGCGTAACAATGTGTTTCATAATTATGCCAGGTATGCCTGGCGTTTATTTCTGAAAGTGGCGTTTAAATAATTCCATCACAGCCTCGTGGTAGCCTTCACTCCGCCTCAGGTTTCCCATAATCCACTTCTAGTGCGGAAACTTAAAAATATTATAATCATTCATGCTTCTGCAATTTTCTGTGTTGTTTTGACAGCTAAAAGTCAGTTGAATCCATAAATATTAGCCAAATTGTGCTCATGTTTTGTTTCACCTATATTTACGATATCCACTACTTTAAGAATGTTGACTAACGTAAGTGCACACTAAGAACAGCTCTTTTATGGCTTCACTGTATTTGAATTGCTAAAAAATCGTTGCGATCAGCCACATAACGACATTTAACGGAAAAGTATGTCATTTTGTTGTTTTGTTATTATTTTCTGTTGCATGACTTTCTTAGCTTTTAACTAATTAACTAGTCATCCCGAAACTTCGTAATATCCGTCCGGGCAATGAAATTTACAGAAATGTCTTGGGATCACATAGACGCATTTTTCGGCTTCTCTTTAGAGTCATGGAGGTAGACTTAAGAAACAGTTGCTTTGCCCAATTTCTTAAAACTAAAATATAAACTAGTGTAACCACACGCTAATATGACGGATTTCTGGTATTTCTTGCCTCTTTAACCCATCAATTAAACTAATAGTAACACACATCTTATTAACTCGTTTTGGCTTTTAGCTACTCAGTAATTTTGGAGAATCCATGGGATTCGCTGCTGAAGAAGGTGATTATTACGGGGTCGTCAATTATTGTGAACACTGAGAGGACGTTCAGCAAGCTTGTTTACTCCAAATTGTTTCCTGTTTGTTATAGAAACAGTCCCTGTCATGGCTTATATATGTGCTCGTTAACAAAAGACCGCAGCTTTACGATCCTAAACGTTTTACTGTATTGATAGTAACCGACTGTGAATCACATGGTCAAGTTTTTTTATTTTTGATTACATCTTGATGTACTTAACTTTCTATATTGGATAATACCTGGTTGATTGGTAAATCTTCGACTTACCGTCCGTCTTTCAATACTGCTTGCTTTGTAACTGAGGTGGTCATTATATGCGTAAAGTAGTATACTGAGTCCTGGAGAGTAACCTGGATCATCAAATTTTCCTGAAACCGTCATTGACAGATGTCGTACATTCTGTACTCCATATGGAGTCATTAATGAGTGCATTCCCTGTCCTTCTTCTGGATATTCTACCTGATGAGACTAGATATCAACTTTTCTACATTCCATTAGCTACATAGTTTAGGAGATAAGGGTCATTTCTGACAATGAGTTGCGAATTTTGAAGAAGCACTTGTCTTCGAATAATACAATAATAATGGCCTTATTACACACAATAAGTTTACACAATGTACATAGTTTTCATCTTAGTTTATGCCACAACATTTTCTCTTCATCCAAGAGTTCCAAGTAAAGCAGCCATCTCCAGCACATCATGTGACGCATTCATTTTTGATATGAAAAATAAAATAATCCTTTATGGTGTTTTTCTTTGGTTCCCCAGAATTTATCAACAGTAGGTTGCAAACCAATTAAAAATGTACATAAGTACATTTGGCAAACCACAGACATAATTAAATGATTATAACAACGGAAACTAAAGCAAATTAGGCGCATCATTTCGGAAATTCCGGTAACCCAGTGATTCAGGCGGGCCGCCAACACTGTTATCAGTATGCAGTCCACTTCTGCTGTTATAATATATATTTATTCCTGTTTATGCAGGAACATACCAATTGTACAGGTATGGATAAGTTATTATATAAATTACACATGTTTCGATGTATGTTGAATTTACAGTTTGTTTGTTCTCTCTGACATTAGAGTCAGTCGGAACAGTCTGCAAAATAGTCTGTCTGTGTAACACATAAAGAGATATAGAAATATTGTCTTCACATTAACAAAACACCCAGACATCAAATGATTGTAATACAAATATCTGGGAAAAATAAAGCTTGAAGTCAATTCTCCTATATAACTTTGCTGTGAACAGCATCCTTGAGTAAAAGTTTATTGATGTATTATTTTGAGGTCAGTGATGTATTTATTCCATATTTTTCAGCAGTCTAATAGTAGTTTTATAAGAGAAAAGAAATTTGATCGTGGATACGAAAACTAGATAAGTTCATTTTGGATTGTTTTACTGCATCAAATGGGGCCGAGGTCGATTCCAGAACTATCCATTGGCGCCATTTGTGTCAGCATGGCAGACTGTACATGTAAGTTGAGTAATACATTGAAAACTGTTTGAAAACCAGTTGCTTCTTTATTTCAGATCATGAATACTCCTTGTACAGAATGTTGGCCAGCGTTTTCAAATGGTAGCATCGGATCGTTCATGGAATTTGAGTTTGAATTTACTTAAATGGTCATTTCAGTTTAAATGTTGGGTTGTTCGACCTCGACCAGGAGGTATATAGAAGTACAGGCTCAGCAATAGAATCCCGGAAAAAGAAAGTATGTGAACCTGGAAAGAACATTAATATTTTATGTATATATAAATGTTTATAAATGTACATCATTGTATAGTAAACATTACCTATAATCTAGTTGTTTTTTCATGTGTTATTGCGAAGTCTTAGAGTTTATTTAGTGTCATAATATTTGGTAATGAGTCTAGGCGTTATAGTGTTCTAATAGCTGATGCGTTTTAGAAATAAGTGGTGCGGTGTGATTGGCATAGTCATTGGGGTGAAACAGTTTATATAGCAAGCGTTTGAAGGTTTTAGTAGAGTCACAGGTCCTTATTTCTAGGGGTAAAGTGTTCCAGATCTTAGAGCACATGACTATGAAGAAGTTTGCGCGGAGTGCTGTCTTACAGCTTTTCCTAGATACTGTGCACGTTCGGTTACGAAGGTTGTAAGAGCCTTCCGGTGAGGACTGTATCTCCTTACTGTCTGAGAAGGATATTTTATGTAAGATTTTCAAGAAGAATGTTAGGTTAATGCTCAGTCGTCTCATCCAGAGTGGGTCGATACCTAGAGTTATACACCTTGATGTGTAGTCCTTTTCGCAGTCAAGTCCCAGTAGTTTAGACGTGAAGTA